ACTCATGGCGTATTCTTCTGAAGGAGCATAATGGTCAGTGCATCCACTGATACTACAATGCACATCAGCTCCACCTAATTCCTCAGAGTTGATGGACTCCCCAGTAGCAGCCTGTACACAACAATCAATTTGATGTTAGTAAACAAAATAATTTCATTAATTACAAAAAAGAAAGGGACTAACACAATAACTTTGTCTCGGTCACACCTAATGATTCACATCCATATATACAGCCCACTAGTACACACAGATGCATGTGTTGTGTTCCTTCCGTTTGTGCATACCTTAACTAAAGGTGGTCCCCCTAAATATAATGATCCAGAACCTTTCACAATAACAGCTTCATCACACATTGTAGGTATATAAGCCCCACCAGCTGTACATGGCCCACACACAACAGCAATCTATAATCATATAAATATGTTTGATGATGTGAATAGAATAAAGTACGTTACTTGAGGTATACCCATTGATGAGAGAACAGCTTCATTTCTAAAGGATCTCCCACCATGCTCTTTGTCAGCATAAATATCAGCCTAAGTAGATTAAAGATTATATGTACAATGTATATGCATGTGTACATGTACATAAACAAGCATAATGTACATGTACGTGTAGAAACCAATGGTAAATACATGTACATGTACATGTACATAAACATACAATGTACATAATGTCGAAACTAATGATAAAGGAAAGTGAAGACTATATTCTCATTTCCTCAACTGTGATAGTACATAGCAGCCACATAACTTTCCTTGTACAAGCTAGTATTGGCATTACATGCATAACATTTGGCAATATTTGTTAAAAGCATTGAATAACATACAAATGTAATTTATTAATAAATTAATGACATTAGAAATACATGTACATGTTGTGGAAAACACAGCAGTTTCTAACAGAGCTCATAAAACTGGCACATTCACAGCTACATGTTGACATGATGAAAAAGAGAAATTCGAATGTGACTATATCCCACAGAGGAGCAATCAAAATGAACCAGACAGATACCACATCAAAGAGACTCTGATAACATGTTTGCAAAACTATAAACAACTCTTTATGTCTATATACAGACTCTAATTAAATTATTACCAAATTTTATCCATACAAATAGAAAAGTATACATGTACACTAATTGATTAATATGATACTGTTTTATTATTAAAGGACAAGGAGGACAGAGACCATTACCTTGGTATAACACACATAAAAGATATACATGTACATGTACTAGCAAAGTAAAAATGCAATGTACACGTACATGTACATGTATATGCCATATAGTAGTACCTGCAATGGAAGAAAAGCACCACCTGAATCAACCAGATAAATGCAGGGGAGTCTGTTCTCCATGGCTATTTCATGCACTCTTAATTGTTTCTTGACTGAAATGGGAAAAGCTGTCCCACCTTTAAATATCCAGTCATTCCCAGATATAATACAATACTTTCCCATTATTCTAGTAATTGCTGTAATTGTTCCAGCATTCCTGATGGAACCATAAGGCAAATTGAGACCAGCTGTAGTGGATAGATACAGCAAAGGTGACCCATCATCACTGAGCAATTTAATGCGATCAAACACTGAAAGTTTTTTTGATCCTTCAGGAGCTTTTGCCGATAATACATTTTGACGTATTGTCTCCATCTTCTTGTAACAATTCATATTAATTTCAAAACTATCATTGTTGTCTTCATTAATATTATTGATTGAGTAGGCTGATGGTATGTGTGGAAAACTGCAGTTGTTAGATCTAGTGTCTTTACTGTCATGTAATTTCATGGAATGGGAAATGCGTGATAGAGAACTAAGGTGAGAAATGGGTCTTCTTAATAGCATCATACTAAAGAAATCTAAATACAATTATAAAGGCCAGCAAATACACCACTTTACCTTATCATTGAGTTATCAAGTATAGTAAGCACCGCCTACACCCGCCCAGCGCTGCTTAATAGCTAGCCCTGCCCCCTTCCCACACAAATAATCACATTTTTTTAAACATGGCGGGTAACGTAGAAAGCCAGCAAGAGAAGAATCTGAACGAGCGATACAAATTAATGATGAAGCAAGTCGGAGCTTCCGTGTTTTTTGGAGTAATCTCCATTCTCATTGTTATGGTGAACAAGACCGTTCTCACCACATATCAGTAAATTCTAATTAAAGCCCAATGTTGTGTACTATTTTGACTATTTCAAGAATATTTTTAGATTGTGGAAAATGTCCTTTATACCTGTAACTAAAATGTAGTGACTATGATTGACACTACAATAGTCTTATGACTGGGAATTTCTACTTTACTTTAGTAGGATGGATATTTTTTGTGGGTTGTGGGCTGGATGATGTTACATGTATGTGGGTGGCTGCTAGCCTACCTAGTTTAGACATGTACACTTGCATGTATGCATAGCTGTATCCCTGGAGTCATATTATTGGTAAAATTGATTTTTGACGAATTTTCCATTACTAAAGCATATATCCAACTTTCCTTGCATACTTGTAGCTGAATGACAGTTTTTCTAAGAAAATAATCATGCTACACTATTGACACAGGATCTCATTGTGACTTATATGACAAAAAGTTTCCATGAAAGGAGATAATAGCATTGCCATGATTATAGTACATGCACATGTGCATACATGTGTACATGTACATTGTGTATTTTACAATATTCTTATTTGAACTACATCTACATGTAAGTGACATTAACTGTTAAATAGATGATTTTCCCTTTCTTTGCATTCATAATTTACACATGGTTCAGCTGATTTTTTTCGCTAGGTTTCTGAGCATGTGTAGCTTATTTACATGTGCATGTACATGTCCATGAAGAGCATAGAAAGTTTGCTTCAGTGACTTAACGTTTGGTAAATTTGGCAAAATTGCAATCACCAAACCTTTTAATAAGAATTTTGCTTCATCTTATGCTCCAATTTTTTCTCCCATACATTATTCACACCTCATTTTGCATTTTGCTGCTAGATTGATATTTAGTGTGTTTATTATGATATGGTTTTGTTCATTATTAATGAATTTATTGAAAAATAGATTCCACTGTAAGTTCTCATTGGTTGCTTCATTAACATGCATGTAATATGTATGGGCCATGGGGTATGGGGTAATGAAGTACATGTACACTATGCATTCAATCTCTTTTGTAATGTCAGTTTTTGTCCTTTTCCTGGTTATTTTTGCAACATGCCTTTCAGTTTTTAGGGAAGTGTCCAAATGGTTGACGTGTGTTATTACATGAGCAAGCACTGTTTATTTTATCTGTGCAGAATGTATGCATGCAGTTCTTTTCCTTTTCTATCTTGATGTACATGTGCATGTACATGTACATTACGTATCTACATGTACATGTACATGTAATATCTTTGTCATTGCAGCTCATATGTACAGTGTATGTACGTGTACGTGTATCAAGGACTATAAATTTTTACATGCGTACATGTACATGCATGTATGTATACAAATGTATGTTGAAGTGACACTTATAATGTATAACGATGCTTTAAAGTATTTCCTTTCCTGTGCTTCCTGCTTTCGTGTACTTGATACATATACATTGTAGATGCAGTTTATCTCTCCTATTTTCTCAAAACTGAATGACCAATTTTATTTTGCAATGCCTTTCTAAAAGCATGGTGTTTTTTAGTTTATTTATTTTTTGTTTTCACTTGAGAAATGTGTGGTACGTGCTAAATGTAGTCTTATTTTTAAAATAAAATTATTATGCTATGCAATTTTGTTGGGTTACCTAATTGTGTTGTATCACTAACACTGGATCTGCATATAACAGTTAATTATGATTGTTTGTTACATATTCCACACCCTTATTGTTGTGGGCAATTCATTATTTTGCTAGTGCATGTACTTTTATGAACTTGAGAGTAGTAACAGAATCAGTCTCAGGTTTCTTTATCTCTCTGTGCTCTTGTCTGGCTTCATTCTTTTGTGATGATCACTTAGAAGCCAGACAGCATGAGTGTATTAGCATAAGTCTTCTTATGACTTGTAGGGTTTTTGTTTAAATTGGTGTGTCTAGATGACATAGGGCATGTTGTGACTTATGCTTGATGGTACTAGTGAGTTTTGTTTCCATTTACTTTGTAGGGGGTAGGTGGGTTATATCCTGTGTTCCTCTTATACTCCACATGGAGGCTTAACAAATACATTTTGATTAATGCAACTCTGGGCACATAAGATTTCACTTGTCATTTCCTTAAAATTGTTACCGGCTATACATGTATGTTTTGTTTAGTTTATATTTCGTTTGTTATGATTGTTAGTCTATGTTATCCACTATCGATCTTTCCCTTTAGTTTTCCATCATTTCAAGTGGTTGGTCTTGGACAGGTAAGAGTATAATGACATTCTTGTTGTCTATTATCTTATTGGCTCCAGATAGTAGCTATTATATTTGTTGCTCAAACAGCCAAGATGGCTGGACTAGTCACATTTCCTGATTTAAGTAAAGACCAGGTGGTTAAGGTAGGTCCTTTGTAGATGCATAAATAGGAAATGAAAATATGCTTGTCCTGCCAAATGGTTAAGACATTAGGTGGTGCTTTACTGGTACTGGGACTTGGAGACTGGCAGAAGCCTTTTCTTAGAAGTCACCTTTTTGATATATCCAAACCAAATCCCACAATGACCCTCCCATTACACCTGTTTTACTGAGCATAGTCATGCTAAATATATATTTATGTATTATCTAACTTGAGCCTGTGTTCTCTTTGTGTAGGTTTTTCCGTTACCAATTTTTTATATTCTTAATCTAATATTTGGCCTTGGCAGTACGCAAAAATTAAGGTCAGTCGTCTATAGGCTATAGTCATGGCTTACATTGTGATTCACATGCGTGTATACAAATTTTACACTATAACCGTACTCTAATGTTTGTGTAACATTACTATTATATTTATATTTCATTTTATTTGTTGTTAAAAATGTATTTTTGTTCTATTGTGCTTATGGCTAGATGCAGTACTGACCTCAATTAGAGTGTGTTTTTAAAGGTTTCACTGTATGTAGTATGAAGTTGTATGTTGTATTAGACAAAAGGCCACTGTCTGCATTATAGGCTATACAATATACCTCTTCTAAGAATAATACTAGCTGCAGTCTGTATGTGACCTAATCTTTATATTGAACTCTAACCTTATGTCATATTGTACTGTTGCTACCGTAAAATCTAGCAGATACAAATTACGTACACATGCTGACATGTAGTACATGTACATGTACATGTACATTTGGAATCAAATATACTGTACACAAATATAGTGTACATGTATATGTGCAAAATATGGCATTTCTGGCTGTATTTTTTCTTTTATGGTCCATTCATTAAAGTTAAGTGTCTCAAATAAAAGCCTCTCATTATGCTTACAACTCAAGACTACTATTACTACTGTATGTTTATACTGCTTTTGAAAGATCGTCAAACTAGTTGCTTCATGATATGTTTGTTGCCAACAATTATTCTGACTGAGGTGGTTGCCAATATTATTATGTGTATGCATCATGTTTAAAGGATATTACGAGTTGTACCAGCGTCGCCCGTTCTTAGAATAACAACTAATGATATGATTATATTTACATGGTAGGCAAAAATGATGACTTTTCATGTATCTGCTGTTGTAAAATTTATGAACGTTTAGTGTATAACTGTGTCTTTGTAGTGTAGTCTACATGTATTGATTGTCTTATTATCAGTTGTAGTTCTACTGTAGCTGCATGTCCTTCATGTGCTTTTATCGCAAATGTACATGTACGTGTATTTGCTTGTACAACGTATGCATGTGTATATATTTTTGTCATAATTACGATTAACAATTCTAACAATAATAATAAAAAATGATTATTGTAGTGGCGTGATGTGTATGTCTGTGTGGTACACATTGTGATTATGATAGTATTTGTTTGGCTTGTACTACTAGTGAACAATACACATGTGATAGTGTTAATTGTACTACCGATAAAAGTGTATAAATGTAACTTTGTGCTTCTATCAATTCATTTGAAGTGCGAACATGATATGGTATGATTGTACGTACGGCGTAATTAAATAATCTTACATTATCTTATATCATCTTTTTGTTTTAGTATTCCTATGTTCACTGTCCTACGTCGATTCACACTCATATTTGTGTCTCTGGGACAGATTTATTTGCTCAAGTAAGCACATGTAACCTATGTGTGTATGTTAGCTCCAGACACCATTCAGACAATTTTAAATTAATTATTACACTGTGTGTGTGTTTATCTGTTTAATGGGATACATGTTTTGTCTACCTATGCACTTTCTTAATATTGTAAGCCGTTAATTGTTTATTTTTTGCTAGTAAACGAGAATCTTTTGGAGTTAATGTCACTCTTGTTCTCATGATTCTTGGAGCTTTTGTTGCTGCTTTGTAAGTTATTTTATACATTGTGGCACATGATTACTTTATTAGAAAAGTAAATCTGTTAATTAGGTGTTTAGTGCTAATACTGTGTACTGTTTTGTATTTGTAGTGTGTATTTTTAGTTTGTTGGGTATCATAAAGTTGGTCATTTGTTTGTATAGCGTCAGGTATTGTGGTGATCATATTCATGTACTGAATTTTGATTGTATGTTTTTTCTACTAACCATTTAGTTTATTTAGTGGCCATGTCTCATCATAACTTCATGTTTTATATGTATGCATAGTGACTCATTAATTAGGAGTTGAAGTACATCTACATGTACACCTGTACATGTAATTACATCATGACTGAACTCTATGATGCTCTAGCTATAAAGGAGACGTGTAGTTAGTGTAGATGCATATTGTACTATGCTGTCTATCCTCAGAAGATTTCTGTAATATTGTATTAGCTTGTTGATATTTAATATTCTTATGTTAATTATAGCGAGTAGTATAATGTGTAATTATTTATGCTGCCAATTTTAGCTAATGTTAATCATTCCAGGCCAATTTGTTTTTTAAGTTATTGTAATGTGGGATATGAAATTGCATTTTGTGGTGATGCATGGAGACTGGGCATGTACAGGACTTGTATTTTTGATGTTCATGCATGTGCCTTTGTGTGCATTCTTTGTAAGGGAGGGAAAGAGTTATTAAGTAGGAATTAGGTGTGACTCCTATGGAGCAGCCACAAGTAATAGCCCCATAAAACATTACCAGGATGGCAGTATTGCTGGAATTCTGAGAATTAGAGTAGACCAGATGGAGCATTTTGAGTAAAAGGCGTACCTACATGTATCCACACCTTATCAGCACTACATGTATTATGACACAGCTGACCACCACTAATAGTCACTCCTACTGCTGCCTTTGTATCTTGATGACATTTAAAAGTCTATAGTATTGCTTGTGTATAATAATAATAATCTATAGACAATGCTATCTACTTGTTTTGTAGGAAGCATGATAGTATACTATAATTATTACTCTACAAATTATATTTCTTGTACTACATGTACATGTACATGTACATGTGTATGATGCGTACACATCTGTTTCTATATGACTTGTAGTATTACTTTAATTATTTATGCATCTATATGCTACTATTCTTGCTGTTTAAAGTGAGTTCTTGTAATTTGTACTTCTCAGTTAGTCAGTAGTAAATGTAGTCACATTATGCTCATTTGCTCATTATTTAACTTGTACATGTGGTTTGATAGATACATTTTAAGTCCTTATTTCTACTTTATTGTTATCAGTATACAAGAGAATGCAAATAGGAAACTACAAGGTATAACCACTATTCTTTATGGTGGTCAATAGTTCATTTTTTGTCCTTTTTGTCATTGTTCATTGTTATGCATGTACAATGTATATCATGCCTGTACATATCTTACTATTTTTTTCTAGGGATGATTTGGCTTTTGATGTCATCGGTTATACTTATGTCATTATCAATGATGTTGCATCTGCTGCTAACAGTAAGTATAGCCCTCACTCTAAATGTATTTTGTATACTTGTATGTATGTATTTATATTATAATGTGAATTACATGTATGTCAGAAAGTGCAGTATATGTTATTTCTATTTAAAGGTTTACATTTGTATTTTAGTTTAAGGCTTTCTTTCTTATGTGTATATAGTTTAAAGCTCCATACTATTTATTTAATAAATAATTAGTTACATGTATGTTCTGTCTGTGTTCTGTACTTATCTCGTTAAATGATGCTCCAAAGTGGGAACATGCCCACAATTGTTACTTTCCTAGACTAACTATCTCTCTGTACCGAAGACTGTGTTAGTTACTGGGAGGATATGATTTTCTCACAAATAAACTTTATGTGTATACTTGTACATGTACACTACATGAACTTTTTTCTTCCTTCTCTTCCTTCTCTGTGTACTAATTACTTGTAGCTTTACCTGCAGTATGTACATGTTGTACATATACATGTACCTGTTGTGTTTATTAATCTGCTTCAATGTATTATATTGTTATTTTTGTTTTTAGATTTGTACATAAAAAAGAAAACAAGTGGTGATGTAAGGAAGTACATACCATTAATTTTTTACAAATTTTTTGTTGCTTAGATGGGAAGTTATGAAATCCTGTTTTACAATGCATTGTTGGTTCTTGTACCAGCTGTCATTATTGCTGCCCTGACAGGAGAGTTACAAAAGGCATATGACTATGATCAATGGACTAACCCTCTCTTCCTTATTAACTTTTGTCTTTCTGCAGTGATGGGGTAAGATGCATACTACTGTTCAGATGGAATTATTGGCAAAGAGAATTTTGGAGACATCGATGGTTGATAGCTTAAGTTTTACTATGTGACAAAACTGATAACGTGTTGCCAACTACTAGAAAGTTTTAATTTTGTCATTTTCCTGAAAGTCATCAAATTGCCAATTTAATGCTTCATCAAAATGTCCCTTTATACGGTACTAGCCTACTACAATCACCTTTCTCTACTATATGTTCCTATACAAAATGTGCATGTACATGTACATGTACGTGTATGTAGTATACCACAAATTAATTAGGTGGCTTCTATACTATTGCTGATTTACTTGTTCATGTAGATCATTATACTTTATCTGTTGTAGTTCATGAGTGCAATGTGTGTCGTAATACCCACTATACCCTTATGCCAGCTTCATTTACTTATTGGTAGGAGTTGTTTATAATAATGACCAGTTGATATTTTGCATGTAGTAATAATTGGATTGGGGATTTTTTGCAAGTTCATGTACGTGTGCATGTACATGTACATGTACATGCATTATTTGTCTTTTTGTACATGTTTTTATTGCTCCTACAGTTGTGAGAGGTAGTTGTAGCATTTAATTTACTCTTAAAGACTGATAGAGTGGAACAGGATATTGTGCTGCCCTTATAATTTGTATTTTCTTGGCTGTCTCATTTACTATTAGCATTCATAGTATTCATTGGTTTCTTGTGTGTAGGTTTGTGCTGATGTATTCACAGATTCTCTGTACTCAGCTTACATCTGCATTGACGATGGTGGTCGTAGGATGCATTAAAGTTAGCAAATTATTAATAATGAAACTTGCCGGTAATATTGTTAAATTGATGTACCAATAATGCTATTGTTGTCGATAGAAAGATTATAACTTATACATTTATCAGAACTCATTCATGTATTTATTGCTGTGAAATGATCCATGGATAGTTATTTGTGGGATAGGCAATCAACAGTCATGGGTGCATTGCTATGCATATCAATTATGTTAACTCCCTTTGTCATCCTACCATTCTGCAAAGAGCCCTTGCCAGTTACTAAATGTTGTTGAATCTCACCACAAGACAATCAGTTTGGTAGTTTGGCAAATGTAGTTTGTGGAATTTTGTTTTAGATTGTTAATCTTTGGTCTGAATAGCAATAACTGTGTATTTAAGCTTGTGAGTCTTGAGGGTGATGTATTCTAAAGTAATAACATTATTCTTACATTTAGCAGGGCTTTTCATTAAAACTGACATCCTTTTGTTATATTTTTAGAACATAGTCGTGACGTATGTTGGAATGTTCGTTGGAGGCGATTATGTGTATTCACTGGCAAACTTTATTGGAATTAATATTAGGTATGAAGGACGTTTTCAAATCTTATGTTGTGGTGTAATTTTGCAGAAGCTTGCGTGCTAAACTTTAAATTTAATGAAAGCTACATTAAATCCTTTAGCTGCATTACTATGATGTTGTATGTTGTACTTTCACTTGGCAGTAAAGACAGCAGATCTAGCTGTTTTACTCTAGAATTGTCTTAAGCTAACTATTACTTTTTGTTATAGTGTTGTGGCTAGTTTGGTCTACTCGGTAATTAAGTATCGTGAATCTGTCAGTAATCGTTCAAAACCAGCAACTAGTGAAGAAAATACCAGTACCGCTCCAAGAAAATAACATTATTTACATGTTATTGCTATTTATTATTATTATTATTATTATTATTATTATTATTATTAGCCTGGTATCAGTATTTCTATTACTATTGCTATTATTATTATTACTAGTATTATTATTGTTGTTGTTATTGTTACTATTATTATTATGCACACTGCTTTTAGTTTTGTGGTACATTTATGCATGATAGTGGTACACTGTAATTTCCTAAGAATTAACATGAATTTTTAGACAACGGAAATTAAACATTATGATGGTTTCTATTGTTCTTGTGTAAACAATAAGCAGAGTACTTAAGTGTCTGCGGGGCTATCATTGTTACTAGAACGCCTATTTGCAGACATCGCAGAGAAGTTGAGCAGAGAACAAGACATCATGTCTGATATGAGAAACTGGTCCTTGATTCAACAAAGTGCTAAGCAAGCAGGAGCTGTAGCAGGTAGTGCAGCAGTACTGGACGATGCCTCAGAATACAAGACGGTGAGTTTAATGTGGGCTGTGTAAATTATATTAGATCTTTGTTGTGTTAATTTGTGCAGGACCAGCAGCGCCAGTTCATAGAAGCACTTCTTCCTCATGTTCGCTCTTTTGCCTTTACTTGGCTCAACCTTCAGGCTCGCAAAAGAAAGTTTTACAAGGACAACGACAGACGCATGACAATGGAGGAAGAACGGCACTGTAAGGACGAACTGGATTCCGAGCCACCAGAGGTGAAGAGAAAGTGGGCATCACAGTTGCTAGCAAAGCTCCGAAAGGACATCAGACCTGAGCACAGAGACTATTTTGTCAAAGCAATCACAGGTGAAGTTCAGCCATGTTGTGTTCTCTCTACACCGGACCAGAAAGGGAAGATGAGGAGAATCGACTGTCTGAGACAAGCAGACAAGGTCTGGCGTTTGGATCTGGTTATGGCTATACTCTTTCATGCATTTCCACTTGAATCTACGGACGGGGAAAGGCTGGGGAAAGTGGTAGAATGCCGTAACCCAGCTCTCTGTGTTCAGCCTCATCACATACAAGTGACCGTCAAGGAACTGGACTTGTATCTTTCTAACTTCGTTTGTCCCCAAGGTATGTACAAAGCATACTTTTCCACGTGTCTAACATATCATCCAGCTGTAATAACAGTATTCATTGTGTTTCTCTCTCCCCACAGGCATTCGTCCTGAGGACATCAAAAAAGAAAGGGAGCATTCCTTAAGAAATTTGCATGTCAAAGGTGCCTACTCTGCACAAGAATTATTTGATCAGCACAGAAGTAAGTCTATTGCATTGCATGGTGTAAATTTTACTATTTATTATTACACTCTAGTTCCTATTACTAATGCCACGAGTTTTGTATCTTATTGCTACCATCCATACACACGCAAAAGGCAAATACCTGCATACGGAGATCACTTTACATCACAAGACTGGTACGCATCACAAGCACTCTCTTACTCTAAAGCCATCAAAATGGAGCCATCCTCCACCACATATTGTTATGCTAATGACACTACTGGTGTTGCAGCAATGCATCCTCACGCTTCAGCTGTCTATCCTAGCCCAGCATCAATAGATCCCTACACTGGTCATCACTACATTGCTGCTGCTAGCTATGTACAGAGCTCACAATATTGCAGTAATCCGGGAATCGATTCATCATATCAACCTTCTGCTAGTAATGGTACTGGTTATTCAATGATTCAATATGTACCTCCTAGCCTGGCAACAAGTGTGAGCCCGGTTCCAAGTCCTCAAGATGGCTCGACTTGTTTAAGCAATCCATTAACGCCACCTCATGACGAAAGTCTAAATATTCGAAATTCACCCTCAGCAAGCCCTTGCTCAGTTCAGGAAAGTGCTTATCAAAGCATAATTCCCATACAAACAATATCGGGGAGCATTCACTTGCCAGGTGAGATAGTTTAATTACTTTTTTTGCAATTGCGTGAATCTAAGAGAAGTACTTTACGGTATTTGTCATCTTTTAGAATCCCCCATATCTGATTCAAGATCACCTGGAAAAGATACAGTACCATTAATAGGTATGTTGTTTCATTTACATGTAAATTTGCATGCTGTTGAAAACTATGAAATGTTTGTTTGCCTGACGAAGCCTTGTAAACAGTAACATGATACTCCAAACTGTAGCCCTAGAAGTAGGTGATGAATAGTGGATGATTAATCTTTGACTTTCCTTTATACTATACTATTTTTATTCCACTATAGACTCTTGGGATATGTCCTCCACTTCAGTCTATTAAAGATTCACATAACCTATCACTCTTAATTTCATATGACTGAGAATCTGGTGTCCTTCACTTGTGATATATAAATATATAATATAAGAGCTGAACAACTTTTTTCTCTGCTCACAATATCTTGCATCAGAACATTATCATTATAATTCATACGTCATCAGGTCTCCTATTGTAATATAACTCTTTATTTGTACACAACTAGTCCTGTACCAACCATTATTTTTGTAGTAAGAATAGATAATAATAATGATATTAATAATAATAATAATAATGATAACAATAATTATAACAACTATATTAATTTAATGTATCTAGTATTGTACATAATTATACAGGCTACCTACAGGTATCAATCATAACATAACACAATTATTATTAGTTTTGTAATATATTATTATTTTTACTCCAAATTTGTATTTTCAGAATAATGGTACTCAATTATTATTATTATTATTGTTATTAATCTTTAATCGAGTCATTTATTAACTGAAAAACTTTATGGTCATATATGGATTCTATAATCAGTAACATTATGATGGTATCACTGCTTATTTTTGTGTTTGATTCCTTTCTGTCTAAATACAATAAGGAACTGTTATTGTATATTGTATATCTAAATGAGCATAATCATAATTTGGACACAGGCATAGGAAAAACAAGTTAATTATAATAGTCAGTAGTTTAATTTCAGCTGACATAAACAAGAGAATTGTGTGTGAGAAGGGCACCCCTACTTGGCCATATAAGGCTATTATGTACACACAATGATTATATATATGCTTTGTTACAATTATCTCTTCATATCATAAATCACCAAGGAAAATATTTGTGCTAATCCATAGTATAAGCCACTTAAACAAAGCCAGTCACTTTGGGGCCTATAGATTACGTAATCGAGTTGAAATCATAACTGGGAAAATTATGGTACAACCAGAGTCAATCAATAATCAGAATGTCCATAGCATTAGAATAAAAGTTATGAACTAGTCACTATTGCATTAACCACATTTTCAAAAGTATGTAAACAATAATCTCTGGTTTTATGAAATCAGGAATTTTGGTATACATGCATACATGAAACTTTAACTACTAAGCGCATGATATGTAACAATGCAAAACAGGAATTAACTAATAAAATGTAGTTATTTTTCTGACATCTGGAGCAAAAATTCCAACAGACATATTGCCAAATTTGGTAGGGGGATGAGTACAATTAATAAGGAATGTACAATTCTGATACCTAACTTCCTATTATGTGAAGGAAGGAGGAACAGAGCTCCATACAACCATCTGTCCATTTAAAAATTTTAGTTTCATAAAAAATAGGAGAACATAAAAAATTAAGTATGAGTAATGAATTTATCAGTCATGTTGCACTGTATTGGGTTATGCTAGCTTGATTATTTAGATTTCTCCATTAGAATAATAAACACCATCAAAAAGTAACACAACATTTCTGCTAATTCTTGTCCGATTTCTATTATTAGTGATACACAATAATCAATCATTCACCAATTCATTACCTTTCTTAAAAATAGACTCTTCTTACTTTTATCAGGAACAGGTTTGTCAGTAGGCTGATAATGATGCGACTATAAAATAATAAGAAATTATTAATTTAGCCTAGCTTATAATTACTGCAAAGGTATATTGTGTGTAGTTAGAGAATGACATGTACGTAAGTATACATACTGATGGCGAGCTTTAACCACAAAATGAAATGGATATATAACAATGTACATGCACATGTACACATACAAATCACCAAATCAGGTATTCTTAGAAATACTGTTTACTACAATTGTAGGACACAATCATTAAATTTTTTAATTGACATATTTCATGAGCAATGAGCATATCAGAAGTAGTAACTGTATAGTAACTAAGACAATAATTATAGTTTGGAGGCAGAACCACCGCAAACATTGATTTTGGAATTTGGGACAGCTGTTTGAACAGTTTGGTAGTAAAATTTGTAGTGCACAAAATTAAAGACGAAGATCAAAGTTGTGGCCTTAAGGCACTATATATGGGGTAGGAATATGACTGTCAGTAATGCGATTAGAAAAAAACAGACAAAATAAATACTGCATGGGATGTAGAGCTTCCAATGTGTACAGACATCAATGAGAACAAAGAGGAACAAATTTCATTATACAGTCTAAAATAATGTGTGAACCCATCTCTCCTACATAGGAGTAATTGGCTGGTCGGTGTAGTTGAAGGGTATGATGTGTCTACATTAATAACTAACTTCTAATGGAAATGGCTGCTGTTGAGACTGGTCGGACGTTTGGTCAGATATTACCTGTAATGAAGTAATAGTGAGTGATTAAACAGAACAAGGACTCTTATATAATCATTATACTATGAACACTCCTACATGTGGGCATGTATAAACATTACCTTCAACCATTGTATGAGGTACATTCAACATGTACTATTATATGCATCATGTATGCGTACAGTACTTACATTTTGTAGTTGCTGCTTTAAAACTTTCACATCACTATTGAGCATTGCCCATTCTTCCCTTGTTGGCAAAGTCAAAACATGCTGCTGAATATTATTCAAAGTGCTTCTTATAGAGGCCATCTACACATAAGGTAATTAATAGCAAGCATGATACAGCTAGGGCATGACTTCATTTAATTTAATTTATAAATATCATTACATGTCATCTAACCTCTTTAGCAAGATCAACTAAACAGCCATCATAATGTTGTGTAATAAAGTTCGCTTTCTTAAAAAGCCTTTCATGTCTTTTTTCAAAAATTTCTCTTTGCTTCTTTTCATTTTTCACTAATAATAAATATTAAAAATGCTAAATGTACCTAGGAATTAACTCACTTGCACATAATAAATTGTGCTCCAATTTAGTCTTTTCTTCACTAATGGATTGAGCCAAATCTTTCAAGCGGTTATCTAAGTCATTTACAGTGTTTTCAAGTGATGAACTCAGTATTGCTGATCCGCTTGCTTCTAATCCATCAGGCTCAGGCTCGGGAGATGCAAGCAAATGAGATGGCAATACAGAAGGATTGAGGTTAGCTAAGTGAGTCAATGGAAAATTGTGATCATCAGTAAGTCGTTCCAGACTACTTCTTGATGATGTGCTTTGTATGCTACTTCGAGATGGAGTCCTGTATATAGTAACCGGTAAAGGTATATCAGACCAATATGATCTTTCAACAGTTGTACTGTTACCAGTATAGCGTGGTAGTGTTGCTGAGCCACTTTGAACTCTTGAAGCATAAGGTGCTGCCTTGGGCATTTCTGGTTTAAACCCATTATTATCTGAACCTTGCTTGGTTCTTGTTGCTCCATTAAGCTGCTCCGTTGATAGTGTATGCCTAACTGAATTTTTTCCATTCATTCCATATTCAGAACCAGTTGTTAGGTTAAGATACACATCTGATGTTGATCGCTTTGGACGAGGATTCTCAGATATCCTGTGAGGTAAAGTAGATGTGGCACCAATAGTAGCAGGCCCTCTCATTAGCAAAGAGTGCTTCCTACTCAATGTTGAAGATTGCTCTGCTCCTAAAAGTGAGCTCCTCAACTTCCTTTTGGCTTCATGCTCACATATCATTCTGAAATGTTGTAAATACGTCTTCAATTTGTAATCTTCTTGACCACAGGCTAGTTTAGCAAGATCAATAGATCCTCTAGAAATGCCCAAATGCATTTCTGCAGCACTAAATGCAACTTGAAGACATTGTATATTGGACAAATTAGCTAAGTCCTACAATAGAATGAAGGTTATCTTAATATAAACTTAAAAAATAAACACTTACATTGTAGTCAATAGCTTTATTATTGACAGAATTAATTAGATCACAAAGTATGATTCCATCATAAAAACTATACAAAAATAAACACAATAAAATAATACTATTTAGCAGAAAAATTCATTGCACATTCAAGTAGGCTTTAGAAGAAGATATTTTGGTTGATTTATTTCAATAATTCATAAATTTTAATTGTCTAAAATTTTCATTCAGAATTTTTGCCAACAAAATAAAATAAGCACTTAATAAAAATTTCCTGCTGTACAGTAAACTAATTTCTATATAATATGTCAAAGGGTATACTGATGTGCATTTTGAGCCTAAGAAAGCTGATATACCAATGCATTCTAAAGTGTTCTAATCAGTAAGTGATGTTACTATACCTTGAATAATCTGGAATATTGTGATGGACTACTTTAGAGACCCAGTTTAACAAGTCCCTGTCATCACTTTGCAATGAACTTATTACAGGAGACCCCTTTCCCTTGTTCTCAGTTGCATTATGTGATCCTTCTATAGGCATTCTCAATGTATTTATGAATTTGACATTATTTTGACTTACGTGATCGTAGCTGTTTATCAAAGTGTAGTACTATTGAGTTAATTAACGAAAGGATCTCTTTAATATTGCCACCAACAATTTCTTTAAATTAATTACAGATATCATAGAATAGCATAATAGTGAATCACACACCTTCTGCATGCAAACCAGACACAGGACAGCCATACTGCTGAAGAATTCTGAGGCACAAACTTATATTTTCTAGTTTTTGTCCTCTCATCAATGGATTAGAATGATACTGGCCAAGAAACTGCCCAGCTGCAATAGAAAACTCAATGAGCAATGAAAGTCATGAAAGTACTCACTAATGGTTTGTATTAATCTGACAAGAGTGATGCCATCAGCCAGGTCCACCCCTATATCTGTAATTACATGATCCTGATAGCCATGACTACGAAGCTGGCGATTTACCCAACTGGTCAATTCCTATAAAGAAAAAGAAAAGTTGATTTTTGCATGTTTCAGTGACTGCACTCACTGCTTGTTTATCTCTTGCACCCTTTGAAGACATTTTGCTGCTTGCTTGGAGTAGCCCCGCCCTAAAATGTTTCTACGCCCACCTTTAAACTTTGAAATAGAACAATACGGTCATAACCACGTGTATCAATTTCATTCCTAAGTCCTGACCTCGTGTTCTCTAGCGTGTTGTCTGTAGTCTCTGACTCCTCTGGGCTTTACTGGTAATTGATCGTCCAAATGGCTGTTCCTTGGGGCAACGTTGTCAAAAGCTCCCATAGCTCTATTGCGCCTCCTCCGACCAATGTGACTTTGTCTCCTATAAATTTGAAAAATCGCGAGAAAGTTTCCAAGAAAGTATCGCAAAAGTTGGCCCAGATTGATAGCTCCACAGATGAGATTGATGGACGGAAGTTAGTAGGACCGGCTATTCAAAGATCTTATTCTTCAGATAAGGATTTGTAAGTATTTTAAAATGTTAAATAATTATTTTTGACTATTCAGATTGTGCGTTAGTTGTTTAATAATGTCAGTTGTTTCCTCGACACTGTATTATAATACTAATCAGAACCTAATGTTGCCACTATTGCAAGCATGCTTTTTGGGAAGAAGATTTGTAAAATGACGTAAAGTTGGGTTCTTAATATGTTGTATTGCTTTTCATGTGGTAGTGTCATGACCGTAAGTGCTGTATAAATAAATGGGAGTATGCGTCAGAATAGAATTATTTTTCATCTGAAGCTTTGAAGCATGCTCCATTTATTTATGCAGTACTCACAGTCGTGACAGAAGGGATTTGTTACATGTACCGTATTTCCTAAATAAAAGCCGCATTCGAATAAACACCGGGGTAGCAATAGAATTGAACTATAAATATGCAACATTAGCCTAAGAGTAATTCAGTAGTCTAGTGGATAATGCCTGAAGTTCCAGAAGTCAAAAGCACGAGGTCATGGGTTCGAATCTTGTTCTGGGCCAAAGTTTTTACATTTTTTCGAGGTGCAAATACCATTTTAGGAAATAGACGCCTGGGCTTTTATTTAAGGAAATACGGTATATTGAGAACTGAGCTTAAGAGATGTGTAAATACACCCTTTTTATGAAGGGGGAGTAAAACTGCCAGGTTACTTAGTATACATCATACGTAGTAACAGGAAGTTTACCGAGTGCTATACAAATGCTACATGTGCTATTATTTGTGCAGTACTTGAGACTGCAAGTCTTATATTGTGTATAGACTTAGTGTTTCCACCCACAAACAGTGTACATATTATTGTATGTCAACTATTGTGTCATATTGTCAACAATTTTTGTCTTCTATATACATAAATATACCATAAAAACCAACCCACCCACACCTCCTATACAAGATAGGTGTTGTTGTCATGGCAAGTAAAATAGCAGCTTATATATGGGACAGTTTTGAGCTAGGATAAAACAGTTTGCATTTTTTTGCTGATGTACACCTTGAAATGGCTAATGAACCCTTTTGAGAGCTTTAATTTTGTGGTTACTTTCTAATTCAGAAAAAAGTTGGCGTGTTTAAAGCTGCCGGCTGTATCATATCAGTGTCAGCCCTGGAAGAAAAAATCTTAGGGACAAGAGATAAGATAATGAATTGCACTTTTATGACATCTGTTGCTGCTGTAACATAATTACTATGTTTTTGAAAGATTATAGCTGGACCTTATAACTGTAATGAATGTAAATTTGTAATGGTTAGGTTATTATGAAGCTTTTAGCTTTGATACAAGCACAATTTGATTGAAGAAGGAAGAAAGAGTTCTAATAATGTCTGAGGGAAAGTAGTGGAGAAAAAAAATGAGGATTTGCATGGTGTTTGATTGTTGGCTGCAGTGCATACACTTGTCATACTCAATGAAACAATGGCATTGTTGCTACATGGCAACTATATAAAATCTGCTGACTGCAAGTGTACCGGCAACACTTTTGGGTGACTTGGTATCCACAATACACAGATTGCTTTAAAATACATGTAGCAGTTTAAAAAATGGTTATCACTTAATCATTTATTAGCATTTTAAAATTATTCAGGAATTTATTAGTGAAACATGTACAATGTGCATTTTAAAAGTTTGTTAAGTTACAGTTGATTGATTTTGTTGTAATTATTACCTTTGCCCTTGTTTTCTCACTGTTATAGCATATACAGTACTCACTGTAGTACGTGTGATTACTAATTTAATATAAAATACTATATCATGTTGTTGATCAGATTTTTTACACTATGGTTTTTATTCTAGTGAAGCAATGACTTATGTAATGCAGGAATGTGCATAAGAGAGTGCAATTCAGTGATTTTATCTTATGCTGTTTTTTTGTGTTTTACAATTTAGTTGAGATTAAAATCCACAAAAATCAAAATAATATCGTTCAAGAATGGTGTTGGAATAATTTAATTTGTGAAAAATAAAGCCATAAAAGGATTTTTGGGCAGATTTGCTATACAGTATAGATAGATTGTATGAAACAATAAAACTTATAAATTGTGATGTGCATGCACATGCACGTATGTGCTTTTCATTGATTAAATTATGGTAGATCAATCTTCGAACTTCATTATGTTCTGAAACCTTATTATGTTCTGAAATTGTGACACATTGCAATAATGCTTTGTTTTTTATAGAGATTGGAATCCAATGAAAGACGATTATATGTCACCATCATTTAATTCTTATGAAAAAGGCTCGAGAAAGCCTACTTCTGCAGACTATACATTATTTGTTGATAATATACCTGTCAGTTTAACACAGGTACTTTCCTTATAATAGTGCACTTCATAACTTTTGTTAATTTTTTAGGAAGGTTTGAAGTCTCTTTTTATGAATTGTGGCACCTTGATGAGAGTCTCAGTTGTTAAGCAACGTAACCCATCACGCAAAACTACTTATGGGTAAGTTTATAGATTTGAACTACCTTAAGCCTACTATTATTTGCGTCTACTAATTTTAGCGAAATCAGCAAAAGTCATGTTTAGCGTTACTAATTTTAGCGTTTTTAACCAAATTAACTATAAATAATCATTATAATGAATAATAATTATTTTGGCGTCTATTTAATTTAGCGATTTAAAGCTCTCTCGCTAACATAGCTAAATTTAGTAGACGCTAAAAATAGTAGGCTTAAGGTACTCTTCTTAAAGACAACGCCTCTTGTAACCTGACTAGGTACATGTAAATGATTTTTGGCAATCATTTTTTAAAGAACAAAGTTACAGAGTAATGCTAAATATATGTTAAAAAGTTTCTGTCTCTCTAGACAGAGCTTTATAGTAAACATGTATACTATAAACTTTGTTACTGTAAACATATGACAAATGATTGGAAAACCTACTACATTTGCAAGATTATTGGCTTTAGATGCCTTACACTGGAATATACAATGTATACCTAATGAAACAATATAAGAATTAACTTTTTAAGCATATGGAAAATTTCTCTGAACCACTTCTAAGCCACAAAGCCTCAAAGTGAGAGTTGAGGTGAACATGCTAGGCCATAATGCCAATTTGGTTTTTTTTCATTGATAATTTTTACTAACCATTTCATTACATTGTAGGTTTGTTAAGTTTACTAATTCAAGGGAAGCTAATTCTGCATTACAGAAGTACAATGGATATGAGATTGCAGGAAGCAATTTAATTGTGACGCTATCTAAGAAGTTTGACTCTAAAGCTGATGACGATTTGGTTTGTGAAAAAGTAGATTCTTTTAAATTGAATGCTGCTCAAAGCAATAGTTGTGACTCATCTCCTTCACCTAAAAGTAAGATTACATTTTATTGTGCTTACATGCTGTTGCATTAGAAATTTTGTGTTTCCCCTTTCATGTCATTATTTGATTTATGCTTGCATCATATGGACCTGGCATGACATTTGGCTTTTTTTTGTCATTTTAATTTGAGTTTTATATATTGAGATATTTTTAATGCTATTAAAATACTCTAAATGATACTTGTTTAAAATGATTATCTTTTGTTGGCAGGTTCCAATATTGATAAAGTTACTGGATTGAATTGTAATAACAACAATATGTCTCAGTCGTCTGGTGCTGTGGCTGGAAATGATTCATCTACACCACATGACATTAATCTGTGTTCCAACTGTGTTTATTGTAATGGGCCTTCAAATAGCTTTTGCTCTGTTTGTAAAACACCATACTGTGGTGTTGAGTGCCAGAAGAAAGATTGGAAACTTCACCGGACAAAATGCAAGGTATTTAGTTTGTAAATTAAATTTTATCATTTCTAGTTGCTATGCATTAGCCCAATCTAACATACTTAGTTATGCTAATGATGTTCAGTAGTAGTAACCATGCAGCTTAGCAAACGAACAACCAGTTCCTAACCATGTCATTATTTAAATGTAAAAAAATGATAAAGTTTGCGAATAGGTACATGTACATTGTATGTTTGAAAAATTGCAATAAAACAATTATTAGTAATTAATTATTAGCAAATGGGCATGTTTAGTGATAAAAAGGCAAAATCTTTGGCAGAATTCTACTGCTTTTTAATGGTTCATCAATATCATGTCTACAAGATAGTTTAGGAGGCAGCAGTTGATAGTGAAGTGCTTCTTTGTTAGAGGGATACTGAAAATGGCTATGATCTGTTTGCAGTTGCTGTCATTATAACAGTATTGTTGTTGGACTCTTAGCCATAATTTGTTCATTGTTTTATTTTCTGTTCAGTAAATGGTAAAGGAAGTGATTCTCGTGATCTCCCACAAGGTAGGCTTTGAATACCTTGTTGACTGCATTTTAGTGACTGACCTCATTGATAAATTGGAGATGTTAATGAAGAAGTTGCAGCAAGTATTGAGGATATTAATGCAGCTACAGATGAGAGTGAGGATGAAGTGGAGAAAGCTTTGAGAAAATAAAGATTGGATGTGGATTTTGACATTAGCATATTGTGTGAATGCATGGTTCAGTATTTTAGTGGATGGTGCTTCACGATGACTGATTAATGTATCAGTAAGAATGGGCTTGAGCTTAATAAACACAGAACAGTGGAATTGAAGTTATTGCACTCTCAATTTCCAACCATTGTGGGATTATAGTACTCTCAGAAAGTTAAACCCATAGAAATGTGGACTGAAATCAAGTGTATTAGTGTAAATCCTGAGCCATTGAACACGCAGATGGGGCTGTTATTTGTCGCTTGTAATTCATGGCAGCAATTTCAACATGTTTTGTCCCCTGTTGTTGGTACTATTTTTATTGCAGTTTTGTCATAGTTCAGTACAAGAGAATTTGAAATGTTTTAAAACCCTACCACAGCTTTCATGTCTAACAAAAATTGCTTTTTATTAGAGCTAAATCTTGAAGAAAAAACTTGCACTTTCTATTCACTCTCCTTGTACTGAAGTCCATTCACACTAAAACACTTCATGCCCACTCCTTGTTAAGCTTAATTGAACCACTAAACTCATGAAGATTAACCTTTATGTGTTTCAACATGATACTTGTCCTACACTGACAGCCACTGTAATCTCGACCTTTCAAGGCAAGAATTAATTCTTTTAAATAGTCATGTTTATATTCTAGAAGAGGAGGTTGCCCCTTCTTCTTAAGAGGTAACGTTTCCACATCTGCTGCTGTACCAGTTGATGATGAGGCACTACTAGATGACAGTGGTAGCAGTGGTTGATTGTTCAATGCTTTGTCAGATTTTAATTTCAATTCCTTTTCATACTCCAGCCCTTAATACCCCTTTCTTTCAAACTTCATTCCTTATAATGCCTTACTGCCTTCATAGCACCATGTTGGGATGCATACTTTCTAATTTTGGCCTTCTCTTAATTCTCTTTTTGGGAAGAGATAGTTTCAAATATTCTTCTCTCTTTTGATATTTTTCCTGACTCTGACTTGTTTATTGACTTCTATGATGGTTTCAGATGGGATGGTGAAAAAGAGCTCACCAAGGGACTTATCTTCACTGTTACTCCATTACAAGAGAAGTACTTAAGTAGGTTCATTCTTATGCTTGAGTTGGGGGTACTCCTAGTCATGCCCTAGTTAGTATAGTTAATGAAGGAAGCCATGTCGTTATTAATTAATTGATAGTTTTAATTTACAATTTTAATGTATCCGCAAGAATCACTAAAATAAAAAACTATTTGATATTTTCAATGTTGATTGGAGCATCTTGCCAGTTGAAAAGAAGAATAGGATATTTTTTGCTTTGATATTCACCAGTGAAGTGGAGGGTCTGTTTTTTACTCATCTTTCATGCCTGGTGTTCCGTTTCTTATTTATTCCATTACTTGCTGTGGTTTTAATTGTGTGTTTTCTTGCTCATATTCTTTCATAGGTAGTTTAAGCCTACTTTTTTGTCAAGCAAGCCAATGGTTTATACTTCTTTGGATGGTCCTCCGTCTGTAGTAATATTGCTATCAATATCAGATTCAACATTTGATGTCCCTTTACTGTTACTTATCTTAAAATGTCCTACTCCTTCCTCATTTGTAATCTGTTTGTATCATCTAAAGTATGTGGCTCAAAACCATGGATTAATGTATCTTGCTTATCCACTTTGTAACGGATCACCTGATACTTGTAAGCATGTGAAGCTACACTAATTTCCTTGGAAGCACATTTTCTGAGAATATTGTGTAGCATTGTCACGTGACAGTATCAGATATTGTGTGGTTCAACAACAATGATCAATTTCAGCCTTTTTGCATAAATGAACCTATGGATCCCACAGAAACACAAGGTGTTATAGTATGTGTATTTGTGTATTACATCGTTCCAAACATGTTTCACATGTGGAGAAAGTGAGAGATGAAATACTTTCATGAAATTTCTCCATTCCACTTCGATTAGTAAATTGAGACTCCCGATCCTCCCTTGCTCTGTGTCTTCTTGACTGAGACCTGTTTCTGTCAGCTGCTAGACGATGGTCCCTATCAGCAGGTGCCTCTTGCTCTCTTCTTGACTGAGACCTCTCATTCTCTGTCTGTAGAGCTCCCTACGACGACTATTACGACATTCTTCTTGACTCATTTCTCAAATTCACTTCAGTAAGGAAATGTTGCTTAATTGCTTTCACGACACGTGAAAACTGCTTTGTGGTGTATAGTATATTGCTTTATATTGGATAGTACACACTTGACCATCATTAGTAGTTAGTTATTTAACTTCGATAATAGTTAGACAACCCAATGCCCGTACATATATACAGATGCTCTTTGCCTTAGTGGGGCTCGCTCAGGCTCGCCCCAATTATACATTAATTACAATTGATAACGATGGCATCTAACCTCTCTTCTTTGTTGTCAAGTCTGATGTGTGAATTGGCTGTTCTCTCTAACAGTATTTCTTTTGCTTCATCACTATTTGATTGGACAGCATGAAACAGTGAAGTTTGAACAGTGTTATCTTTAATATTCATATCATGCCTACATTGTAATTAGTAATAATATAATTAGCAATTAGTATCGGCAGTTGTTCCACTCATTTTTGCCAATGAACTGAGTACCTTTCTTCTTGGTAACTCTACTAATCTCTCCACTCTACATGCATCTGGATCATCTACTGTCACTTCACACTCCCTCCCATTTCTACTTCCAATTCAGTATAATTTGTAATGACGTAGCCCAGGTTCATCCAAATAAGTAAGAAAATTGGTAACAAGTACTAACTTTGCCAGGAAAGCTATGCATGACGCTCCTCACGCCAAGCCCTTTTATTGGCCCAAAAAACCCTTATCAAGGGTTTGAGTCCTATGCATGGAGTGAGGAAGTAAACGAAAAGAAATTATTTTCCTTCGGCAGCCCTGTTAACAAATGTTGGGCTGAAGTGACTCGAGTGGTCATCCATAAGTAGCAAAAGTGGATGAGATGGTGGAACATTTGCCAGAAAGTGAGTCAAAAACCAATTTTCAAATATAACTGATTCCATCCATCCACTAGCTGAATGGCCAGCACATGTAGTTCCAGGTACTTCACTGATAACCATGTCATGTCTTAGGTCTTTTGATCAAAAATAACTAATGGTGGAATTGTCTTACCTCCCGCACTACATCACGCCAAAACTGTAATTTGGGTCTTTTCACAACCAGTGACACATAAGATGTCGTTTAACAATCTCTGTGGTTTGGGATTTAAAGGAAATCTAAATTCATCGTTATTAAAGATTGAACAAGCTATCTCTGTTAAGTCCGATTCTTGAAATGTCAATTCCAACAAATATAAATAGTTCTCTAAATTAGCATATGTGACGTTAATTTAGGATCATGAAGAGTCAATTCTTTGTGATGAGATTTAAAAGACTACCACCAACTAGGAGACACTGTTACTTCGAGACCTTTTTCATCAACAAAATCTTGATCTATTTGAACAGCTTGCTTAGTCATTTGAGAATATAAAATTTGCGATGAACCAGTTAGGAAATTAACAAGATCTAGCTCCTCAGTAGAAAATAAATACCTCCTTGGTCCACTTTTTGATCCCAGCTTCACCTTTCTGAGCCACATGTCACAAAGAACATCCTTTACTAAATCATCACCACTGCAATTATTGAATTAATGATCGGTTCATCAACCATTCATTCCTCTACAGGCAATCCTTTGCCAAGGCGTGCTTTGCTGTCGAAAGCTATGTAACTTATTTGTCTTTAAATTCATTTGTTAAACATGCTTTCTCAGTGGTCTAGCTGCATTAAGGGATTACATGTAGAACCTCACTTTTTTGTGCTATTATTTCTACGCATTGAATCTTGCTATGGTGCCCAGCATAATAATAAGCATGTTCTATCATTCATCAGACTTTACTAATGAAAATGTGCTCAATACTGTTGTACTGCTCACTCCTTATCATACATTTCCTTTTAAAAGCGTATTTATATTGTAAGGTTAATCAGCCAATACAGCACAATGTAATGGGCTATGCATGCTAGTATTGTTTCCATTAATGGCTTTGCTATTGTACTTGACAAATTTTGTCAGCGTCTTACGAACAATAGGGAATGCTGTGGTAACATCACTAGTACTTTGTTGAATTGTTCCTAGCTGGTAGTATTGTAAACAGTTTCACCATTGCAGTCTGTTGTACAGGTAATAGCTCCAATCCTATTGGTCCAAAACTATATATGTTTTCTACATTTGTGTTACTGTCAATGATGTATGTACACATCACATCATTTGGTAGGTCTTCTGTATGGCTTTTAGCCAACTCAAAGTTTCCTCTAAATTGAAGTTCAACATGATTCCATACATATCGGTATCAATGCGTCTTAATTCATTAATCAATCTTGTTAACTGTTTAGGCTTGTTATTGATTGACTTGTAGTTGCGAGGCTTCTTTGTTGGTGACTTGAACAGTGCTTTGAGGTGATGCAGGACTGTGGGATATTTCACAGTCCTGCCTCCTGTTGGAAGGTCCCCTCGGTAGCTTGTTGACCCCTACCCCATACCAGCCATGTAGAGCATTGTGCAGGTGTCACTCCAAGTTGTATTTATACAATGGAATTCCATTGTTACACCTATGTCAAGCCTTTTTGAGACAGATGGAATGTCCGTAATCAGTGGCATCAAGGGCTCCAGAAAATTGACGGTCATCTTCATACCATAGGCATGAATCACTACATACTCTAGTATTGCAAATACTAGAGCCCTCAGTGCCGCGACTACATTGCAGAGGCTCTATGAGCTCTTGATTACAAAAACTTCTATGATACATATACATGTACATGTAGTTTGAGATAAGATAATAGAAGAGAGCTCACCAAAGGACTTATCTTCACTCATACTTCATTACGAGAGGAGTACTTCAGTAAGGTCATTCTTAATTTCTCATGCGTGAGGTATTAGTGCTGTGTACCTACAAAACTTTTATCACCAGTTAACTGGTTACCAATAACCTGGAGTTAACTGATAACTGTTCACACCCTCAGTAATTTTTAATTAATTTTGTAAATAATATTTTATCAATCATACTCATTACTCTGAGAATGTTTATAGTCTAATTGCACTTGTGGTAAGTTACCATGTAAAAAAATAAATTAATGACATTCTCCGGTTTTAGTGCAGCTCTTCTCATTGACACTATATTACCAGTGGTACTAAATAATTGTTCAGACAGTACAGAGGTGGCGACAACACTGTGATATTTTCCGTGCTATTTAGAGACAAATTTGAGTAAGTAAGCATTTGAGTCTTCCACCACTTCAGTGGGCACTGGTCAAGAGCAATAGAAGGTTCAGCCTTATACCTCAGACTGTACTAAGTCTTTGTGTGCTGTACTGGTATTCATAGCTTCAGGAACCTCAGTATCAGTATCAAGGAATTGATCTCCAAGTAGTTGCACTGAAGCATGCTTTTTCTTGTGATTAGGTTCCTCTGTATTACTTTCATCATCATCTACTACTATGGAGTGTTGTCTTGACTCTTAAGAATTGCCTTCTATCAACTGAATTATCTCTTCTAAGATAGTATCTATAACCTTATTTCTTTTGGTATCTATAACCTCTTCCTTTTGAGTAAGTGAAAGATTCTTCATTGTCTTGAAGCTTGGATCTACAAATGATGCTTTATGCAAGAGACCACTAACATGAGGATGGATATATCTATTTTCTTGGTCTTCCTGTAATGCCATCTTTAATTCTTTCACAGCTACCCAATCATTTGCATCTGGAGTTACTTCCTTTTGAATTTCTTTTAATAGTGGGCCAAGGGCTGATATAATTGGATATCGCTCTCCAGATAAGCAGCGTGTTGCTACATTGAAGGGCTTCAATAATTGTATTGTATCTTCCAAAACTCTCCATTCATTGGTAGACATTTCTAAATGAATTAGGTCACGGCGTTGCAATAGGATAGCACTGATTGGATGCTGCTGCTCAATTACTCTTTCAATCATGTCATAAGTTAAGTTGCATTGTGTCACAACATCCTTGAAATACAAATTAGATAACACAGATTTAAAATTCAGCTACCTCACCTGAATTAAATGATGTTTTGGGACATCTGCAAACATCTTTTGTTTCTTTTGAAGCTCCTGCTGATCATTGTGGGAACGATGGAATTGTGTTAATTACTATTTTCTGACATCTCCCATAGCTGTGGTGACTTGCCGAACTTGAATAGCTTTTTATGCAGCTAAATTTAAAGTTTGTCCAGCACATGATAGACGTGGTATAGTCATGTCATCGAGATCCTTTACAATATTGAACCCACTATCAGTTGTAAATGTGATGATCTGTTTGGGAATGTTTATGCACCACTCCTTAGCAGCTGATAGAAGGGCTTCAGCTATGTGAGAGGAGTCATGGGTCCCAGGAAAATGGCCTGTCTGTAGATTCTGGAAGTGCATCTCATAGTTAGGTGCTATAAAGTGACAGGTAAGTGAAAGGTAGGATTCCCCACACCGTAAAGTCCACATATCTGTTGTATAACACAGGAAATCTACATCTGCTATTAGACCTTGAACTCTTCTTTTATTAGAGACATACAAATCATCAATGCACCTTGATATTTTAGATCTACAAGGAACTACATAACGTGGCTTAGCTTCCCTTAGTAGATTTAGAAATCCTATGTCATCGACAATACTAACAGGCTGGATATCTCTGGTAATCATCTCTGAAATACAATTGGTAAGTTTTCTCGCTCTATCAGAATAATGAGGTAGTTTAGTGACACCGAGTCACATAGGTATCTATTGTTTCTTGTTTACTTGTACCTGGAGAAACATCAGGGGAATTCAAGGGGAAAACTCTGAAGAGTTCATCATGAGTAGAACGATGTCTGGTGTGTAAATGCGTTCAAGGTTAGTAGTTCCTCCACCATGAGCAACATGAACACCACACAGCTTACAAGTAACTCTCTTTCCATCTTTTTCTCCTTGTTTGAATCCGAAATTCTTCCATACTTGAGAAGTCCTACCAGCTGGAGTAGTAATAGATTCGGCCATTTTGAACAGTGACATGTGCGTGTGGCCATGCCCACATTATTAATTAATTATTAAATTGTTGATGGGTGTGTCAATATCATTGATAATATAAAGGTAATTGGTGTTCTATCTAGAGCAATCAAACCGGTAGGTGAACTGGTTATTTGGTGAAGGTGCACAGCACTACGAGGTATAGCAGCTGTTGGGGCGTTGCGCCCTAGTTATTATAGGCAATAAAGGAAGCCACGTCCTTATTAATTAATTGATAGTTTATTTTCGCAATTTAAATTTATCGCAAAAGTTTCAAAATAAACACTACTCAATATTTTCGATGTTTCTCGTTGCACCTTGCCAGTTTAAAAAGAATAGTCATTTCTGTCATAAGGCTACTATTTTGGCTTGGTCGAAGTGTAGAACATCTTCTAACACATCCTAAAGCGAGTCCTTGAAGCTTCTGCTTATGTGCATAATTAACTTCACCATTATTTAGTCAATCAGTAAGAACAAAGAAGAATAGGACGTGTAAAATAAAAAAGGCTTGTCACTTGCACTTCTTTTTACTGTGTCAATTAACTGATGTCATCAATATCTTTGTCACATGTAGTTGCCATTTTGCTATTTGCAGTCCATTTTTGGGCAGACAATTTACCCTCTTCTATGTTTCTCATGCTCTTATAAAAGGCTGTGAATGGTGTGGCTTTATGCTTTAACTAAGTACAACACTAAGAACTTGTTTTACCATTATTAGTTTTGATTGTTATTTGCTTTTCATACCTAAATGCTGATATTTTGTTTGAAATACATTAACATAGTGAGTGCTGCATGTTACATGATTTTTTAATTATTTAAGCCCATTTGTGTAAGTTTTTAGGATTTTGATATTTTAATTTGATGGTTGTGGTTGATATTGTGTCATTCATATTTTCTTTTTCCTCTTAGGGTCTTGCTGAACTATTGGATAGATCCTTAACTATGAATCCCCAGCTTCCCACTACCTCCACATTCATGATGGCTACATCATATTCAAAGGAAGAAAAGAAGTGCCGTACCTCTAAATCAATGATGAAAGAAGAGATGAACAAGGAAGAGCAGCAGTGTCATTTTTCCTCTGGTAACATAACCTTAAATGGCTCTTATTTGGACTATCTCAATGCATTTACTCGTTTGCCTTCGGACATTGTTGATCGAGCGTTGTGTTCATCAGAATTTTATGCCTTTCCTCTTCATGTGAAGTCATCAATGCAATTGAGTATATTACCAATAACATCAGATGCGAAGATTATCTTACAAGCTCTTGTTACTTTTGAGAAAACCGAACTCCCATCACTTGAAAAGACGACTCCTGATTTTACCATAAGTAATGTGTTTGGTGCTTTTTATAATGGGCACTTTTGTCGTGTTCGGAAATTAAAGAATGCAGAGTCATATTGGCATTATGATGAAGCTGTAACGCTTGACAGTTTGTGTGCTGCTGATGTCTTTGTCTTGCCCCCCAACATTTCTTCTCTTCCTTCTTTGCGCTACAGAGCTACTATGCTTGGTCTTTGTAACTGTTCAAATGATAAAGGCACTGAATTTACACAAAATTTGGTGGGTGGGAAGATTCTTTTTGTTAAAGGTGCACAATGGATTACCAGTAATGATGGGATACCAATTATTGTTGCAAAATTTTACTCATTTGATGGATTAACAAGCTATTGTGATATGATTGAGAAAGAAGGCTATGCTTCTTCTTCGTCTTCTAAATCTGTAAAGACTGACAATGTAACTCAGTCAAGTGGTCCCAGTCAATCCGATCTTCAGAATTTGGCTGATTCCTGGGGTCTGTCCAAGTTTACAAGCCAAAGAAGCCAGCTAGCAAAGAAAGTTCCTTTACTGCCGAATGTTCTTTCATATTCTAAAATTTACTCAACTGTAATAGAATCCCCTCATATGATATGGGCACAGGTGTTTCACGATGATGTATCCGAGTTTAAGAAGCTTATGGAGGAAATGAATGAAACGTATATTCGTACTACAAATGCATCATATGTTCCTTGTGTGGGGGATGTTGCTGCTGCAAAGTTTTCTGATGGTTTATTTTACAGAGCTGAAGTGCTATCTGTGAGTGCCCGTGGTTCCGTTACAATTCGTTTTCTGGATTATGGAAATACGACCTCCTTATCCTATAAAGATCTTCGACATATACGAACTTCGTTTATGAGCTTTCCCAGGCAAGCTATTCAGTTTTCAATTGCAGATGTTTTGCCTTTTCATAGTACATCATGGAGTCTTGAAGCTTCCCAGTTTGTTAGGGAAATAATGCTTGAAAAGTCAATAGAGATTAAGGTTGTATCAGCACAAAATTCGAAATATCTGATTGAGGCATATGATGTGTCTCATAATAGTATTGCAGATCTTCTTGTTAAGAGGAAATTGGCTTGTAAAAGCAGTAGTAATGATAATATCACTTCTGGCAAAATTGTAATTGGTCGTGGCAGTATTTTCAATTGCACACACACTACTGGTCAAGGTGTAGGTGTAGCATCTGGTTCAAATGCATCTAATGGCTACAAACCTCGTAGTCCTGGTGGCCTCTCAAAGAGTACATGTAACTTTTCTCGAAAAGGTAGGACTTTGAAACAATTTCAGTCAACTGAAAGAATAGAAAGTCCTGTTCAACCTGTTAATGGAACTAGTCCTATCAGAAAGGAAGATTCTAATACTAACTATGCTAGATCTTCAATGAAGTCAAGCCCGTCTGGCCGCCTTGCCAATGACTGTGACTATAGTTTACCAAGCGAAACTGTAGTATCAAAAGTCAATCATATGTCTGAAGAAAGTCCTTTCCCTGATATATTGCCAGAAGTTGATGTTTTGTCCCAGCCCTTGCCTTCTAATGTCACTGATGTATGCAGTGCTTCCAGTTCCGATGCTGATGAGCCAAGTTTTGTATCTATGAAATTGAATGATGCCAGTTGTCTGAAATCACAGCCTACTTATGATTCATTAGCGAAAGTAGAAGTTTCCTGCAATTTTACTTCAGTTGTTATAGTTCATGTATGCTCACCAAGTGAGCTGTATCTTCATATTGCTGAGGAGCCTTATATTACTTATGTAAGCTGTGTAGCAAATGATCCCTTTACTAATTTAAAGCCGCCCACAAAGCCTCTGGTTGTTGGAGATGTGTGTGTGACCAAATTTTCAGAAGACCAGCAGTGGTATCGTGCTGTTGTGACTGAGGTGAGATGTGGAGGGGAGTATTGTGTTCATTTTATTGATTTTGGAAATTATGAAACAGTTCTTGCTCAGAGTGTCATGGTTTGTCCTGAGCACCTTTTATCTATTCCAGTCCTTGCTGTGAAATGTTCTATTGGTGGCGTGGTACCTGCAACTGGTGACAGTTGGCATCCTTCCTGTGCATCATTTATTGCTAATACATTTTTAAATAAAGTATTGCATTGTCGCTTACTTCAGTCTGGTTTGTCGGATGTGGAGCTTCTTGAAGCGTCTTCATCGGAGAATATTGCTGATATACTTATTCAGCAGTCATTTGCTATTTCTTCTTTTTCATTACATTGTCCTGCAAATGATAATACAGCTCTGTCGTCAAAACAACTTGTTCAATCATTTTCCCCTTCAAATAATGCCACTATTTCTAACAGTCGTGTTTCCATAGCATCTGATGCCTCTTCTCACTCACTGTCTTCGTCTTCAGTTTGTGCTGTTGCACAGATTGGCACTGATGAAAGTTCTCTAGAATCTACCGGTCATCAAGTCAATTTAGCAGCTCCCTCTCCTGTTTTTATGGCAGAATGTGTGAAAAAGATCAGCTTTCCTCTGTACGTGAAGCAGTTAGATGCAGTTATTGTTCATGCTGAAAATGTAAATGAAATTTATATTCTATTAAGCAGTTGTATGCCTTCTTTTGTGGAATTTTCAAGTGTAGTTGAGTCTCATTATGAAGCTGCCCCAGAACTGCTTTCATTACCTGTGGTAGGCCAGTTATGTTTAGCTAATAGTTCAATTAATGGAGTATTCAGGGCTGAAGTTGTACATGTCAACAGTGAAACATTGGAGTGTGCTGTCCAGTCTATCGACTATGGAAGTTGTGAGGTGTTGTCTTGCTCTGCTTTACGACAAGCTGACAATTCAATCTTTGATTATGAGAGACAAGCTGTTAAGTGTGGGTTGACTGGTGTTGTGAAGGATGTGGATATGGTGAAGGCTAAATCTTTATTACAGCAATTTTTTATGGACGTACAAGTTACTTGCTATATCTCTTCTCATGTTCCTCTACTGGTTGACTTCAGTCGTGATGGGGTGATGTTTCGTGAGGAATTGGTGAAGCAATCTATTCTTCCTCCTATTCGAAACAAGATGGCTATTTCTCCGCACAAAGTTGTTCTAGACAATACAGTCTTGGTAATGTGTACTCATTATCCATCGCCTAATCATTTCTGGGTTCAGGTAGCAAATGAAGAATCTGTCGCAATTATTGAAGTGTTATGCATCCAGCTTCAAGAACTGTGCCCTAAGTCTTTGCCAGTTTCTTCACCAGTTTTCTTAGGGGATTTTGTGGCTGCCATATTTGAGGAGGATAGACAATGGTACAGGGCTAAAGTAATTGACGTGTCTGATACTGATCCTGTTTTGCGATTTGTGGATTTTGGTAATACGCAGAAGACACCTATTAGTAACATTCGATGTCTCCCTCAGAGTTTAGCTTCGTATCCAAGTCAAGCTATTTTATGTTGCTTGGAAAGCCATATATCTTCCTGCAAGTGTGACTTGTTCAGAGAATTAATAGCAGAAAAGTTTCTCAAATGTAAATTTAAAGATTGTATTGATGCTGGAGCAATGGTGGTTGATCTAACCATTAGCGACAGTGAAGAGAATGTATATGCTCTTCTCAAAGACTGATTCAATAACTCATTCCCATTATGTATTTGCTTTTCTCATAGACTGATTCAAAAACTCATTTCATTTATCATTTATCATGTTATTCTCTCATTTGATTGTAGTGTGCCATTTTTATGATTCTAGATTTTTTCTTTTGTTTAATCACATAAATCAATTTGCCTTTACAATTGAATTTATTGATAGTAAAACTATTGTTATTCGTAGACTAATGCAATTAGTAATTATGATTGCTGATTTGATAGGTCATTTTATAGTTGAAGCTTGAATAAATATATACAGTGGAACCTTTGATAATGAAACTTCTTTTACCTAAACCCTCTATGTATTGAAGATATTTTAATTAGTGTACTTCATTCCCTATTGATTTGCAGCAAAATCGCCAAAATAAAGCGTTATACGGTATTTGGAAATTCCACTGTACTAATGGTCAAGTTTACAATAATAATAATTGACTTTTGCATCCAAAAGGCTCAGTGCTTTGGAAATTGAAATTAGATCTGCTCATGACTCTGTCATGGTAAATGTAACGTATCGTAACAACTATAGTTATGCTCAATATCTTGTGTTTTATTATTCCATTTTTTAAAGTCTGCCTTAGCAAAAAAGTACTTCAATTTGCCCAGCTCACTATAAATACCTGTTCAAACTGCCACTCAAATACTTATATAGCCTTTATTGGTTTCATGATGGTTTGGCAGTCACAACCAGTAGAATTTGAGAAGAACTCAGTGGTATTCTATGATGCAGACTCCTTAAGGTCAGTAAGTGGTAATCTAAATTACAATAATATACTATGCAGTAATATTACTAATATTACTGTACATGTAAGCTAATGATTCCTTTAACATTAAAGCTTAAACTTTTCTGTAACATTAATTATAGCTTATTATGCTGTGAAGTTTCAAGTGAGGAAGAAGTAAAAAACTGGTTAAAGCCAGAAAGGGAAGTTACAAAAGCAAGAGACAAGAACCCATCATTCATCACACATGTAGCTTCATGTTAATGTTAACTGTTATTGGTATTTATACAACATTATTACTAAATTTATTTTATGTTTCTGTCTCTTGTGTCACATCTTTGGCCTTTGCCTGTTTGAAGTCTGCCATGGCAGAGAAGTACTTTTGATTTGCCTACATGATAATACAGTATCAATGATTTGCTAAATAATTATTGCTAAACATCTTACTTCTTTTACTTTCTTTTCTGCTGCCAGCGGATTGACTATTTCAAGGCCCTAAACATGATACACTGGCTTATTACTGTGGTGAAATACAATGCAACACATCCCCAAATAGTGAAAATTTATCCACAAAATTAATTAATAGTTTGAAATTGTGAGACTAATAATTTTTTTGCAAACACATGTTATTACAACCCATATGAACAGTGTGGACTTTAGGATGGAGCACATTTGTTTCCCTGGGCTTGGCTTATCAAACCCCTTTTAACTTTAATTTATCTAATATACATAAATATACACATACATGTTTTGATCAGCAGCATTACTACTATACTAGCTTCTAGTGGCATATGCTTCCCCCAGTATATACATGTACATGGCTACATGCATAAAATGATGTCAGTTCATTTCCTAGCTGGAAAGCTTGCATGTGACAAGCACAAGTCATGCAGCATAGTTGAGTCCTCACTTGTAGTGGTGTGAAAGCAATTGTCGATGCAGTTCCAGACGTGGCACCTTGTATTGTACTGCGCCCACCATAAACTTGACTTTTCTGAATTTGCCTCTACATCAAGGAGCATAAAAGAGTACAAATGAAGTAAATTTACTTGTAGACGTTTTGATATTGATATTTGTGTCTTTTTGTCAACTGCAGCTGGTCCACGTATTGGTCCACCAACTCCTCCCTTTCCTAACTGACCAACAGAAAAACCCAAGTCTTCTTGGTATGCATCATCTTCAATCTATAACATAATGATAGCACATGTATATGTAATTGTGGTATTGTACATTGATATGATAATAGAAATTAATTTTGTGGTTAAATAATTTATTGTGGATTTGGAATGTTAACACCACACCTGTAATGATAATTCAATTTTTACAGAGCTCTAATTTGATAGCTGTATGCTATCACCAAAAATGTAAAGGTTTTGATCCTTAAAAATAAAGCACTGTACAGCTATCAGCAGGTGCCTGCTGCCACTAAAAGCACATGTATATGGACTTTTATCATACATGTGCATGCTATGTAGGTGTACATGCAACAATTGCAATCACAAACTATTTAGAATAGAAACTTAATTCACATGAAAATACATGTATATCATACAAAGGTCAACACATTTACATGGAAAATTAAGTTATGAGTATTACAAACATAAAAATCTTATGCTAAAATTACCATTTTCAACCAAATTACGTAAAAACAGAGCGAAAGTTTAGCAAATTAAACATTCTGAGGACTATATATTAATTTATGGATTAAATGCTACATTGTACCTAAATGGCTAGATATAGAAAAATAGTCTTTGCCTGGTGAAGTCATAACAAATAAACACCTAGGCTAGGGCACTGTACATGTATGCATGGCTATTTTAGTCAAGAAAGAGAGCCATTGAGAGAGGCAACTGTGCGAGTGCCAATTATAATTAGATCTGGGAATAGCATAAGCAGAACAAAATTAAGTGAAAATGATTGGTCACTAGAGAAGAAATAGTTACAAAAGGACCAGTGAAAAGGTGGACAGAAAAGTTAGCATTTTAAACACTACCATCTCATGTAATGATATTACCTCAGCAAATGACATTCTGTTCGCCTGCTTTCTTATGTCAGTCAAAATAACTTTTTGTTTCAGTCGGCGAATTCTAAAAATAAAAGGAAATACAGTGCAGATTCATTCAGTACATTTACCTCTTTCCTCCCCTTCTTTTTTTAGGCATGTCATCAGGTTTCGGAAGAGGTTTAATACGTTTCACAGGAGGAGGCTCTTGTAGTCGATTGACTTTTTCTTCAACTTGTTGTCGTAATTCTATAAAATCCAGTAAAACACACACATTACATGAGTAACAGAAATAAGTAATGACATACATGTATTACAATACCATGCACAAGTTGAAGTTACACATATGTACATACAGTGGAATCTCGAAATGTGGACACCATTGGGACCACCCTACAGTGTCCTGATTATAGGGGTGTCCTTAACTCGGGTTTTTAAAACAAGAACAAATTAATGAACTAATACATGGACTCCAGTGATGTTCCTGTAATGAAGGACTCTTATTGTTGCAGTCACTCTGGCAATAGGGTGAACAGATGAACTGGATATGGACTAGAAATTCTTTGCTGGTATGGCTTGTATGGCTCAGAAACATATTTGCAGGAGCTGAAAAACAATCTTCATGCTATTATTCAGCATGGCCTCATTACTTGAGTAAAATTATTACATTAATCAGTAAGACTCAACCCTTGGGTGTGGCTTATGTCTGCATTATGGGGCCTTTTTTAATGGCCAGCACGCAGTTGGGGGACCAAGAAAGTGGCCGCATTACAGAAAAACGAGGTGTCCTTAACTGAGGGGTTCGCTAATACAGTGTCCTATGGCTTTTTGTCCAGGACCAGCAGCAACTGTCCGCATTATCACAATGTCCTTATCTAAGGGGGTCCACATTTCAAGGTTCCACTATACATGCATAGGTATAAAATATGCATAAGCTAACTTTCGCCTAATTCTCCAGATGGATATTCATGACAGCTGTCTACTCGAGCGGCTAAAGTGCATTTTGCAGCAAGGAATTTTGCAGCCTTTTTACGATAGTCCTACACAATTTTAACAAGTGTAACATAGTGTAAAAATAGTCCTATAATTGATTTCACCACCTTGCAAGTACAAATTGGTCATTATTAAGACTTATAGAGGTTCTCTCTACCTTCTAATGCTTCTAGAGAAGTCTTTAGACAGTATCTCTATATTCTCTTCCTGTTAGAAAGCTGTTAACTTTTTCACATGTGTAAGGCACCATTTTGTTTGCCATGGCCACACCCACTTACGTAAAGGAGCGTGGGCGGGTGGTTGCTATTTGCTAGCCAGCTCACCCCCTCCATGCCTTACATGTACGTTTAGGCATGGAGGCTGTGGTCTGGCTATGCGAGACTAGCTATTTGCTAAGGCTTGTTATTTCTCTAATGCAACATGTATAGAAGAAATGTAAGTGTGGACATACATGTACAAATAAATAAATATATATAGATAGTGCAATGGTGAAATCAATTATAGGAACAACCTGGGGCTTCGCCACCAGGTCGTTAAAAATAAATCTAACAAAACAATAATGCAGATATTTTACTTCAGAAGTATTTTGAACAAGGTCAGAAAAATATACAAATCCAGTATGAGGTACAACAGCAGCAGTTGAAAATCCTGAAAGTGTTCTCTTTTGGGCTCCAAGTACCTAAAATATAGATAGAATTAACAATATAATGACATGAAAATTAATTATTTGATAAAAATTACTTGAATATTGCAAGATGGCATCTGAGAAAGTGCTGTCAAACCACCAGCAATACCTAATAAACATAGACAACAAAGTAAGCGAGATGTAAAATGGTAGTACATAGGGCTAATTTTAGATATGGAGAAGTCAGCTATTAATACATGCATAATTTTTTTAATTTTTCTTTAGCATTTTGTTCCACTTGAGCAAAAGATTAATTTTCAAGTGCCAGTCAAACTGTCAAAGATTGTATTATACATGTATATTCCACCCTGGCATAATTGTACATGTACAATACCTATCAGTTTTGCTGCCACAGCTGATCCAACAATAGCTGACAAATTAGGTGCAATAAAAGACATCCTTGACTCAACATATTGCATTATTTTTAACTTTTTATCATTTAGTTCTAAAGCCTAAAAACATTAGTGTAATAATTAATAAATAATTATTAACAACAAACCATGTCACAAGCTTCCAATATGAGTTTTAACTCTGATTCTTCCAACACTGACCTGCATAATACCATCAACATAATAAAACTGTTGATATCCTTTTCACATTACCCTTGAGTAGTGGATGCTGTAACAGATACAACCATAATGGTAGCCGCAGCTAATATGTCATTCAAATCGACCTTTGTCACTTCTAAATCATTTTGTAATAACTAAAATAAAAATGAATCCATAATGACATGCATTTAAGTAACATGTACAAGTACATGTAAGACACTAAATAGCTACAACAAAAGACACTTAAGTTTACCTGAACAGTTTTCACGTATTCAATAGGTGTATAAACCATAGACTCTAATTCTGGAAATCGTTTCGAGTAGAGATCTTTTACATACTTGTGTATAGTATCTGAAAATTTCAAAGTAATAATAACAAGTAAATTATTTCACCTACAAATTTCATTGTCAATTTCAACAACCATATTGTTGCTCTCAACAATTAACTGATACTCTGGATCGTACTCCACAGGACCAGACACTATAAAAATTGTCATATTGCACTACTCAAAAGCATGCATATAAGTTAAACATACTTTCTCCAGTTCGTACTGTACCTAAGTGATATTCAACTTTATCCATCATATCTTTCAACTAATTTTAAAAGTATGGAAATAGTTTTCATGATTATATAATCATAAAAGTGATAAAACATTACATCACAAAACTACATGATACATGTAAAACTAACACATAGCTCTTTCAGTAAAATAATCATATTGACATGTATTTACATGTTGATTTTAGAAATTTTTTTCGCGTATTGGGTACAATTAAATCATCACTTTTCTCTGTTAAAAACAGCTATAAAAAGATGAAGCTGGTAAGACGTTATCCATACAAAGTTATCATATAGTGACCTTCTAAACTTATTCGTTTAGAAATAGAATCTGAAACTTGGTGGATTCGTCTGGAGATTATTTGTTTTTAGACACTGTGTTTGAGAGGTAATAACTTGCTGGAGCTATGCAAACAAAATTATAAATATTAATATAATACTCTGGAGTTTCATGAGAATATATAAAATAGCGTATGAGTCTAGATATTGATGCTTCACTGTAATGTTTATCACATGAAGGACCAGATTATACATGTACATGCACGTGTAGGTTGAGCTATAGGTATACATAATGTACTTGAGCAAAATTTGCTATTCGCAAATTTTGTCTTTCACAAATTTTGCTTTTTGTAATAATTATGGGTAAATCTACAGCTCTACACATCATTGTGTGGGCAAATCTAAATATATGTGGATACACACACCACTACTACACAGTATATCCCAACTTTAATGTTTATCCCAAATAAACCAACTTAGAACCTATGTTAGAACTAACCAATTGGCTCTCATTAAGTTTAGTGAGGGCATGTACTGATCTCTCATCAACATCAGAACTCAATTGCCACTGATTATTGACATCAACAAGATCATCCTCTTCCTCTTCTACTTCATTAACTTCATCATCGTCATCATCTAAATCAGCCAACAGCTCCTCAGCCAGTGACATGCTTCAAGTTTAAGATGATGTGACACTCAATGGGCGGGGCATCTTGTTCTCTTCGGCCCCTCCCTACCAAGCTTTTCAAAAAAATGGCTTCCAGTAAGCAACAGAACGTTTTGACTCTTGTTACTTAATATATTTTTTATAGGAAATCGTTTCGTTGCTAAGCCTGTGTCCTTTGAGCTACTGTTTTTAGAATTGAGGGGGCCACTAAATGGCCTGTGGTTTGAATGTTTTCATTCTCTGAAAGTTGACAAAACAAAATTACTTCAAATTCGTGATAAGTATAGGAAAGACCCAAAAATATGCGTCATTGAAGGTATTCGTGCTTGGTTGGAAAACACTGACCCCCCTCCATCATGGGAAAGTCTAGTCCCAGTCCTTCGAAATGTTCTTTTGGAAACAGAATTAGCCGATCGTATTGAACGACTATATGTTGATCCATCGAAGTATCCCAATTACCAGCCTCGTATGCCTACATTTTCTAGTGAGTTGTTAGAGGGTGATACAATGTTCTTATATGCATCACGTACATGTACATGTATATGTACTCTAATATCATTGTTTGAAAATGCTGCTAAATCAAATGTAAATTTATGCATATTTTACGCTTATCTTGAAACTTTTATAATTTTAATCTCCCACAAAGCCACTTTTTGATTCATAGCTTCCCATTATCCACCTGCGTAACTATTCATTGTTGTGGTTTTTCATTAATTGTCTGCACAATTTGTTCAAGATGTTGTGTTTCTTCATTAAAATGTATTCACAATTATTCAAGTGGTAATGAACTTAATTAAAGCAGCTAATGCTGCATGAGTACATATAATAGGAAACATTTAATAGTTAACTTCAATTCAATTAAAGCTGCAATTGCCATGCACTTATCACTTTAATGATACATGTTTAGTATACATGTACATGTACATGTAGGTACTCGAAACAAATCTGCTTGAATTTTAAAGTTTGTAAAAGTTTTTGCAGAAAATGAAATTACACCATTCATTAATATCATTTGCAACTGAATGTTTTTACTTAATTTTTTAAAAGCGATAATTACTTAAGTAGCAGCTGGCTTTTACTTGCATAGCAATTCCGCTATACCACTTCACTAATTGTATTTTTTCACATTTTTGGTCATAAATGGGCATCAAGAATAGTCAAAGGTCAACAGCAACCTTCCTTTCATATCAAATTAACTGAAATTAAATTAAACAGAGAATACACATACATGTAGAACTAAATTTGCCTACAGAGTATTGTGTTCATAAAATTGTTGCCATTGTGGCCCATTCAGTACAACTTCAAAGTGTGATGTACATCACGTGTACAATATTCTAGAACAGACTGAAGTTGTCCACATTACTGTGACATTGGCCTTGTACATGTATAGTAGTAATGCAGTAACGTTGTTAAGTATGTAGTACAGTGAACATGTATTCATCTGAGGTTAAAATGGCTGTCATGACTTTTGTTACTCAATAGTTGTTCATATTATTTTTCTTCTAGCCAGCAATCCAAAGATAACTTACGAAGGTGTAAAATTATCTTTTGGACCACCTGGATTCAGTAATACTGCATTCTCATCACTTCTGACGGATATGATGGATCAATACAATGATGGAGGCTCATGCTACACTCTTCACTATGCCATTTCATCTCTGTGTTGCCCTGATGGTACACCATATATTGACTTTGAAATTATTCGTTCAACAATGTCAATTGATGGTATAGTTATGTCTCTTTTATTTCATAACTATGTCTCAGATATGGATGTAGATCTTATTATTTATTTAATGAAAGTTTTGCAGCACTTTGACGCTATCAGTTTTTCTCTCCAAATTTATTATAAGGAAAGAAGTCTATTTCAACCATTCGTTAGGAAAATATTGAATATAGATGCAATATTTCTCATCACTTTTGAATTTCAACGTGAAGTTGCTGTTCCTGACTTTCAGCTAGCAACCAATCTGAAGGAAAGAGTACAAATAATTTGTAACCTGACCAGCTTTCCTTATATCATGCAGTTTATGGGATGGTCTGTTGGTCCACTGTGTCTATATTATCAGTTACCATATGCAACTATGCATCTTGTCCGTAAATCGTTTCAAACTATGCCAGAAAGCCTGAAAGAATTGAAGATTAATAAAGTTAATATTGAAGTTGGATCAGCTAAAGATACTCTTGTTACTCAGTAACAATGGTATTATGATTCATTATAAATCATTATTATTATTGATATTATAATCGCTATTATTTCTAATATTGATAATATTTTTCATAACTCAAATTTCTTTATTACAAGTTTTCACGCCTGTTAGCTTTCTCATTTCAGCTCTAAGTTGTTTGAGTAAGTCTTCATTTTCAGTTTTGTTTGATATCTCAGGAGGAAGGTGATCCATTGTCTGTACATAAAAATAAAGATTATTATAGATTACCGTATAGCTGGTTTATTTTGTGGCCTCAAATTTTTGTTGCTTAAATTTTCATTAGAATTAATTTTAGTGCCTTGCTAAATTTTTGTTAATATTTAATTGGTTTTAATAAAATTTAGTGGAATTAATTTTAGTGGATTTGAGCCTGCACGAAAATTAATTCCACACGAAATAAACCAGCTATACGGTATTACTTTAAATGGTAACATAGTGGACTATTTTGAGTGTTGAAAGTTAACAATGGATGATTAGTTAGTTCCTATGTATATCATACATGTACATTTATCTTTTTATGAATAATGCTAGCTGCCAGATATAATTACCGATTAGTATACATGTATATGTATTAAACCTTTAAAGGCCCTATACACCAGGCAATGCTATTGCAGGTAATCTGCGCTTACTTTCATGCAGGCAACACTGCAATAGAGTTGCCTGGTATATAGTGGCCATAAGCCCCAGCTCCTATTATCCAGGGTAATTTGTACTTGGACAAAATAATTTGTACCAAATGCAATAACAATAATTAAAATTTTAATTGAGTAACAGTTACATTATTATTACTGTTTTTGGCAGTTTAGATTGCATGCCAGTATAGATCTTCAAGAGTGAATCCCATGTATCCAAGTCAGGATGCAACAACTAAAAATCATGAATGACATTTTTAAGTGTCACAAAATGTAATACTTTAAGCATCTTCTGAGCTGCTATTTGCTGTCCATCCTTGCGTCCTCTGCATGTACCAGTGACTTGAAAGTTAGGTCCACATGACAATTTGTAATAAGACTGTATGCTAGCATCTTGTGAACTGCTTGTGTTTGCACTGTCATTTTGAGATGTTTCCTGTTCTGGAAGAGTAAGCTCAATCTTAAAATCCGGTTCATCAACTCCACTGCCTTTGAGTCTTACAATTAGTACAGTAGTTACATGCATAATTACACATGTATTAAAAGTTACATCTACCTTTGGCAGCATTTTTGCAAAATGCTCCATGGTGATGGCAATCCAACTTGATTTAAAAGTATTGGTGACTGTATATCTTCAATAGAAATTGAAGACAAATACTGATACAATTATTTATGAATAATTAAGAGTTGGATTTTGCAATACAACGAACTTCAAATTCCTTATTGCAATCAATTTCAGCAGATGAATTACTTCTAAAAGAGCCAGGCAAAAACAATTCTAGCGTAGTTTGAGCTATAAACGGGCAGTGCTATGATGAAAAAAATATAATATTCACCAGCACATTGCTTTGCAGATCTCTTTGATGAGCCACTTCCACTACCATAATGAACTCCACCAATGACAGCAGTGCAGTGGTAGGGTGTCTGCCCACTTCCTAAAGTGCCTTATATTATTGTTAAAAAATAAAATGGAAATTTACCAGTTTCTGTTGTGGCATAGTCTATCTCACTCCTAAGATAATTTTGGCAGAATTCAAGCAGGATAGACACAGGTGGCTTATGACTAAGGTTGACTGTCCATGCTTTAAGATAATTGTAGAATGAACATTCATAATGGCTACAGCACTATTACTTGCTGAATTAGTTTTTCCTTGATGATCTGGTTTGATATATTTCTTGGGTATAGTGACTGTAACAACTTTAGAAATAAGTTCAGGCTACAAATTAAAATAGGAAATGACTCAATTTACAGTGCAAATTGTCTCACAACTACAATCCCTTGATCTTCAGCAGGTAGTTTCCTTTTTCTTTTCTGTCTGGCTTCTTTCTTTTCGCCGGTATTGGTACTAATATTTTAACAATACAAATCAATTCAATACTCCTGGATCACTACATACATGTAGGTTTATGTGTATACTTTATACATGTATGTTGATGCCATTATTGAAAAGTGCATGAAGTACATTTACTGGTACATTATAAAAAATACCATTTCAAGGTAAATATACCCACTTAAAAAGTGATAGCAAACTTGACAAACAGCTAATAATCTCATACTTTTAGTACTGCTACTCATATCCACCAGGTACATGTTCATGTAATTAGCTGCCAGCTTTAGGGGAACAGCAATTTACTAGTTCAAAAGTATACATGTATCATACATATGTATAGGTTTGTCACTAAACTTTATAAAGTATAATGACTAACTACATTGCCACAAGTTTACATTATAACGTGCCAAGATGATGAAATATTTACATCTTTAACTTGAGATGGGATTAACAATCAATGATCAAATGATCATGTACTTTTAATAATTAAAAGTACATTTACCATGCAAAATGATTCGTAACAAGAGATATATTTAGAAAAATTGTAATAAATTTTATATACATAGATGTAAGTAATTTTTTGCCACGTGTTTTAAGTTTGCTCAAATAAAATGAAACGCACATTTTATTATGGTGATTCATTCACAGATTTGCCAAATACCCAAGTTGATTGCTTGCCTATGCATAGTACATGTACATGTATGTCTTATAAATGTACCTTACACTCTCTATAGGGTAACCTGAAGGCCATCGAATCATTAAGTACTCCTGCAATTTATTTGATTCTAATAAAATATATTAATGAATTTAAAAGAATGAACTGTACGTGCCAATCTTATGAAGCTGTAAGGAAGTTTCGAAACCACTCAACCATTTGTCAATACAAGGAATAGCAGTTGCAGGGACCTTGTGTTTCTGTTATAAATGTTTTATTAAAGGAAAGAAATAAAAGTTTTCTACTTTAATTGTTTTTGATGTTGATACAATATAGGGTTTAGACCAGGTGCAAACACGAGTAGGCTTGTGAAAATATACTTGTCCACCAGATTCATGCTGTATAGGAACCCAACCATCAGGAAGAATTGAAGAATAGTTTGAGAGCATAGGATCATCTCCTATAAAAATTAGAGATTGAGAAACTTTGAACATTAAAACTGAGCAAAAAAAGGTTAAAAGTTTTTAAACAGAAAAAAAATACTAAACAGTGGAATGAAAATTTTTCATAATAGAAATTCAACATTGCCTTCATTGATTAGAGGGTTAAATTTTGGTGAATTTATCATTCTCTTACACCACCACATCACTCAAGTTTTGATTTAGTTTATCCCTTAAAATTATTTTGAAGTTACTTATTACCAGCAGAAAAGATACTGTACATGTAAGAAGCCAGCCTCCCATAAAAAAAACTCATTTTTCTAATCCGCACATTTTGTCCCATTGCATCAAATGTCAAATCACTCTTTTATGGATACACTACCAATTAATCTTCACTTGTTCAATGAATTACAACCCCAAATAATTCAATTAAAAAGATTCTATCAAAAATCAATGTGTGAATTAGACTTGAATTGAACTAACATAGATACACGTACGTGTACATGTAAGTATGGCAAACATAATAATAATAATAATAATAATAATAATAATAATAATAATAATAATAATAATAATAATAATTGGTGGATGGAGTCCTGGTGCTGCCCTATTATACGCTATATAGGACACATATTGCAAGTTGCATGTCTCGGGAGGAAATATGCCATCATTTATTTCAGAGACTATCTGTTTCTTTGTGCAGGTCAAATGTCCACATGTGGCTTTGCTGCTCATCTGTCCTTCCATATTCAGTGGATAGGCTGATATAACTCCTTTTTCCTTTTTGTCCTTTCTTTTGTTTGTTTCTTTCCTCTTTTTTTACATTTTACTTTGCAGGGCTCTCCATTTCTGTTTTTTTTGTAGTTTATATTGCATGCTGTTGGTTAATTTCTGGTTTTAATAATAACAACAATAGTAATAGAGCTGTTGCATGGAAGTAATCAACAGAGAGTGCGGCTATGACTGTTAGTGGCAAGAATCTACATGTACATGGTGGAATCAGAAAAACAGAGAAAAATCTGAATAAATTCTGCAGTTTACAACAGTATTGTTTTAGTTCATGATTTACATTTTAGTTTTAGTTATGGTACTTTAGAACAAAGTACATGCATATTTAGTTCCAGTTCTAGTTATAGTAAAGTGTAAGCCTATTTATTTTAGTTATGATTATGTGATATCATTTTCTTTAAGTTATAGTTATACATGTAGTTTAATACTTTTAGTTATAACAAACCAAGCAATCACAAGCAAAAAAGTCATTGAATCATAGCAATTTGAAATGTTACCATAAACAAACTTGTCTTACTAACAAAAGTACCCTCTCAACAGGCTCAATTTTGGTCAAATAAAAGTAGATTTCAATTAATAAGTAGGTACGGCTAGTACTAGTACAAAACTGTTAATTGTATTTTAGATATAGTTTTGACAAGTCATTTTAGTTATGATTCTAGTTACTTTGACATCAAGTGGAAGAATTAGATCTATAGTTTAGTTAACACAATTTTGTTGTACTAAAACAGATTTAGTTATAGTTAAATAATACAACACTGGTTTACAATACAGGCTAATGCAAGCTAGGAGATGAAGATATTGAGTGAAGAACTCTCTATAACATTCTACAGTCAAGTATGATACATGTATCTCATCGTTGGAAAATCCCAGTTTGTTTCTGCATCTCCTCCATTCATTACTTGTACATTCTTGCCACCCAAGATGGCAGACAGTCATAGCTGCACCCCCAGTTGATTACTACAATGCAACAGCTCTATGTATTATGATGGTAATATTGACGAGAAAAATTAAAATAATAATAACGATAACAATAATAAAAATAGAGACTAGTAAATTTTTGAGGGAGGATAAGAAATGTGTAGCCTACATCATGATCAGTACTCACCTAATTCGTCTGTTGCCATGTTCCACTTGACTGAAATTTGAGAGAGCTAGAGCTAGAAACTACATGTAGGTATGAGTCGCCAGAGCGCCATTAAAGAAGTTAACTTAGTCTTAGTTAAGCCACACCTTAATAGACAGAAAATAATAATGGATGCCCTCTACCTCTGTGGACGTATTTGCTCCCCACTGTAGTAGCAGCAGTGGATTATAGTCATTAACTCTGGTTTCAGCTTCATGGCGTTTCAAATCATATATTTTTTGATGAGCTTTGAGATTTTTGGTAACATCTTTTAGTGTTGTTTTTGATGTTACAGGGCGTGGGTAGCCAAATTTACATCTCTGAAAATAGTGACTACCCGATTTGTATTTCTTTTTGCAGTAGGCACTACATTTATGCAATTGTTTGGACATAACTGTCTTATGTAATTCTGGGCAAGTATTATGATTAGGAATGTGACAGGTAATGTGCCTGTCAATAAATGCTATGACATCTTCAGGTTTGTCCTGACCCATTTTAGGAGCATCCCTTATCCAAAGAAGGACGTGATAATGTGGAGCACCACGTTGTTGGTACTCTTTTTTCCAAAAAAAGTGATCTACTTGCCCCAAAACTTGACCCTTCTTAATAAAGATTGAAAAAAATTCATGAAATTTATGTGAAAATTGGCGAGATACGGAAATAGGATCTTCAGTGCATAATCTGCCATTGTCATACGAGTCAGGGACATCATTGACTTTCCTCAAATATTCAAGAATGTCAGGAGATTCATATTCAGCACAGCTAAAAGTGCAAAAGAAAGTGGGAGATCCAAATTCTCTTATCATACAGTCAACATCTCCTTTACGTTTAAACCAGAATTGCTTAGTGCCACGTACAGACTGGAGTACAGTACATAAACTAGCTTCCAATTTTCTGTCTGCATTGTTGAGCATATTTAGCATAGCTTGAGCTGACATGTTTTGACTGGTTGTTCTTAGTGTGTTGTATATGCCACTTTTCAGCTCCCTTAATTCTTTCTCCCATAATAAGAAGAAGACATAGGCTGGATTCTTCCTATATCTCGAGTCAACATTAAGAAGTCGAGATTTTATATACTCAGCATTACTAAGTTTAACTGCACGAGAATGATCGGCACCAAAATTCCCAGTTGGAAAAAGAGTAGGAAAACACATGACATCAAGGTGTTTTTGTCGGTTGTCTAAAGGATTTTCTCTAATTTCATTCATCTTATACTGAGAAATATCGAGACGTGTAACGAGCCCTCAAATCAATTAATCTCTACTGTGCATATTCACAAATATCTACGGTATGATGAACTATATAGATCTACATATATCCCTAAACAAACTTACGCCTTGTCTATGCTTCGCTTCGTCTACCTTTTCACGGGAAATTGGCCGGGAAAGTGCAATTTTCCCAGGAAAATATTTTTTCTAGAGAGCATAGAGGCTTCAATGTCTTGGGGTGATAATGAGATCTATCTAGCTGGTAATTTTAAAGGTGGCAAAGTGCTAATTTTGATGAATTTAATGCCATCATATATGGCAGAATATGGGGACTTCATATGTGTTTTAAAACCCTACTGTTACCAGTAACTGCAGTAACTTGGTAACTGAACTATTAGCTTAAGTGCTACAGATTGTATTATTTATTTTGTCATTCTGGTTATGCTATATCTCCAAGTGTGCAGAATTCTATCCATGTCATTTTCAATTTGGCTGTGTGTGATGGCATGCAACTAGGGTTAACTGAGGGGATATAGCTAGGTACAATAATGTATGGGTGGTGACTGGGTAACCATGGTAACTCTGGTAACCAAGATAACTGTAGCCAAGTACATTGATGTATGGGTAGTGACTGGGTAACCATGGTAACTCTGGTAACCAAGGTAACTGTAGCTAGGTGCATTAATGTTTGGGTACTAGCTGGGTAACCTAGGTAACTGTAGCTAGGTACATGTATGTATGAGTGGTAACTCGGTAACCATGGTAATGAAGGTAACTGTAGCTAGTCTCGCTAGCCAGACTCTAATTTACCGAATAAGAGTCTGGTGTCACGCCTAATATCAACTCGTGTTTTCAATGTTTTGATTTGCGTGGGCAGACCTACTGACATGCCCACTCTTTTTATGAATAAACATTTAAAGCAGCGCGGTCATGGAAGCAGCAGAGGCAGCAGTGTCTAGTGTGGCAGCTAGTTTCGGATACCTTTTAAAAGATAAGCAGTTTGAAGCTATGACGCAATTTATGTCTGGAAATGATACCTTTGTTGCTTTGCCAACTGGCTATGGTAAAAGTATCATTTATGGTTTATTGCCTCGAGTTTTTGATTCTCTGAGACCCGGCCCGGGATGCATGCAGGAGATTCTATTGCTATAATAGTTTGTCCACTAAAGGCTCTCATGAAAGACCAGACCTCACATTTTAGAGATATTGGCATCGTGCTGCTTTTGGTGGTGAGCCAAACATCTCTATGGATAGATTTATCAGAGGGGAATTCCAGCTCATTTTTCTCAGTCCCAAGTGCCTGAATAGAGGAAGAGCATGGAGAGAAATACTTAAAAGTAATATCTACCAAGAGAGAGTAATTGCTTTTGTGGTGGATGAGGCACATTTAATTAAGAATTGGTAAATAATTATGATTTCATGTGGCATAATAATAATAATATTTTTAATAATAGGGGTGATGATTATAGGCCAGAGTTTTCTAAGCTAGGAGAAATAAGAAGTCTTCTTCCGCAGCAAACCAATGTCATGGCCTTAACTGCCACTGCAACAACAGTTCTGAGAGACCATGTCATTAAAATCCTTGGTATGAAGAGAGTCTCCGTAGTGGAAGTATCTCCAGGAAAGGACAATCTGTTCTTTTCAATCAAAGAATTCAAATCTATTGAGGAAAATTTTATTCCTCTAATGAAAGAGCTGAAAGACAAAAAATTAAGTATGGAGAGAACTTTTATTTTCTGTCGCCGTCCAATAGACTGTGCTGAACTGTGGTCTGCTTTCATTAGATTTTTGAAAGATGATATTACTGAACCTCCAGGTCTTCCCCTTAAAATTCCTGAGGTACGACTTGTAGATTACTACACTGGATGTACACAGGAAGCTGTGCGTAATGTTATTTTGAGCCAGTTTTCGAAACCATCTTGCTTAAGGGTAGTAATAGCTACTGTGGCCTTTGGCCTTGGAGTTGACTGTCCTGATATCAGAAGAGTAATCCACTTTGGAGTTCCTGAAGATGTGGAAACATATGTTCAGCAAGTTGGTCGGGCAGGACGAGATGGCAAATTGTCTTCCTGTGTGATGCTTTATGGCCCTGGTGTCTATAGACGGTTTAGTAATGACCACATTTTAGCTTATTGCAAGTCAAAAGACACGTGTCGCAGAGATTTTTTGTATTCTATGTTTT